AACAGATCCTAGCTCATGACGGCTCAGTGGGGAAGGCGACAGATCCTGGCTCATGACGGCTCAGTGGGACAGGCGACAGATCCTGGCTCATGACTGGCTCCGTGGGACAGGCGACAGACTCTGGCTCATGACTGGCTCATTGGGACAGGCAACAGATCCTGGCTGATGACTGGCTCCGTGGGACAGGCAACAGATCCTGGCTCATGACTGGCTCAGTGGGACAGGCAACAGATCCTGGCTCATGACTGGCTCAGTGGGACAGGCAACAGATCCTGGCTCATGACTGGCTCAGTGGGACAGGCAACAGATCCTGGCTCATGACTGGCTCAGTGGGACAGGCAACAGATCCTGGCTCATGACTGGCTCAGTGGGACAGGCAACAGATCCTGGCTCATGACTGGCTCATTGGGACAGGCAACAGATCCTGGCTCATGACTGGCTCAGTGGGACAGGCAACAGATCCTGGCTCATGACTGGCTCAGTGGGACAGGCAACAGATCCTGGCTCATGACTGGCTCAGTGGGACAGGCAACAGATCCTGGCTCATGACTGGCTCAGTGGGACAGGCAACAGATCCTGGCTCATGACTGGCTCAGTGGGACAGGCAACAGATCCTGGCTCATGACTGGCTCAGTGGGACAGGCAACAGATCCTGGCTCATGACTGGCTCAGTGGGGACAGGCAACAGATCCTGGCTCATGACTGGCTCAGTGGGACAGGCAACAGATCCTGGCTCATGACTGGCTCAGTGGGACAGGCAACAGATCCTGGCTCATGACTGGCTCAGTGGGACAGGCAACAGATCCTGGCTCATGACTGGCTCAGTGGGACAGGCAACAGATCCTGGCTGATGACTGGCTCAGTGGGACAGGCAACAGATCCTGGCTCATGACTGGCTCAGTGGGACAGGCGACAGACTCTGGCTCATGACTGGCTCAGTGGGACAGGCAACAGATCCTGGCTCATGGCTGGCTCAGTGGGACAGGCGACAGATCCTGGCTCATGACTGGCTCAGTGGGACAGGCAACAGATCCTGGCTCATGACTGGCTCAGTGGGACAGGCGACAGATCCTGGCTCATGACTGGCTCAGTGGGACAGGCGACAGATCCTGCTGCTCATGACTGGCTCAGTGGGACAGGACAGATCCTGGCTCATGCTGGCTCAGTGGGACAGGCGACAGATCCTGGCTCATGACTGGCTCAGTGGGACAGGCAACAGATCCTGGCTCATGACTGGCTCAGTGGGACAGGCAACAGATCCTGGCTCATGACTGGCTCAGTGGGACAGGCAACAGATCCTGGCTCATGGCTGGCTCAGTGGGACAGGCAACAGATCCTGGCTCATGACTGGCTCAGTGGGACAGGCGACAGATCCTGGCTCATGGCTGGCTCAGTGGGACAGGCGACAGATCCTGGCTCATGACTGGCTCAGTGGGACAGGCAACAGATCCTGGCTCATGGCTGGCTCAGTGGGACAGGCAACAGATCCTGGCTCATGGCTGGCTCAGTGGGACAGGCGACAGATCCGGCTGATGACTGGCTCATTGGGACAGGCGACAGGACGCCCCGCCGAGCCGCTCCGCTGTGGGGGACAGGCGCTATCAGACCCCGATCAGCGGCCCACTTGCGGTTGCCGGCTCGTTCCCATTCCGCTGGCCAACTGGACAGTGCCCGAGCGTCTGGCTGCCATGACAACGTAAACGCACAATGAGTGGTGTTTCCGGTGCTCAGAAACTTTGGTGCTTGCGCTGGAATGAATCATGTGAAAAAATTTTCGGTTCAGCTTATTAACGGAAAACAGAGGCCTGAGGCCCGTTTAAGCACAGGTGTGCTGATTAGTCATGTATTGAAATGAGGGCGTCATATCATGCCGTAAAGCCGTGAAGAAAAGGTAGGTATGCATAAAGCTCACTCGTTTCCGATTCATATCCATAGTGCGCGACAGAAAATCTTAAAATGAATATCAATCATGAAGGTATTACAGCCAAGGCTCTGTCATGGAATCATTGACACATAGCTGTCATTTTTGTCAGTCTGTAGTGCCCAACATATTTCCGATTCGGTGCGCCACGCACGTTTTAGCAGATGCTACGGCTGCGGCTGGCTGACGCCTGGTTCAACGGCCGAAATCCCGTGAGAAAACTACGTCAAGCAAGCTATTTCGGCGCGTTGGATTCGTCGCAGATTGTGGATTAACCGAGCTACCGCCTTCGTTATGGTTTGTGGTTTGGCAAAGAGCGTGGCATACGTCCAGAAACCGTGATGGGCATGCGTCCACCTGTTCTCCTGAACGTGGTCGTTTGACAGACTGGCCTCCAGGCGGTGGTATATACCAGGATGGCGGGACGAACACTAAATAGTTGTCCCGATATTGAGATATAGCAGACGTGCACAGCGTCAGGGGTACGCATGTTATGACGGCGTTTTGGTCCACAGTTCTGGGGCGGAAGAGAACGGGTAAACGCGGCAATATCCTGGCTGGCCGGGATTCGCTCTGGTCGAACATCTGTTTTTTGTAATAGGAATTTGCTGCTCACTGGGAAAACGAGATGTTAAAATCTTTTGAAATGTTTAATCATTTTAGACGCAGGGAGCATAAATGTGCAGACGGCAAAATGTCGAAGGAGTGACGTAATTTTTTGTTATCACTCCAGATCACAAGACTCATAAAGATCGACCCCTGGAGAACCGTCCACGGTAAAGGGAATTGCGGATAAGCTTTAACCTACCCCTAGATATGCCAGCAATGCCTTTCGTGCGAAGTTTTCTATATTCCCTTTACCTTGTTAACGGCTATTATGCGTAGTGTACCTGTTGACGTGTTTCTGTTTAGGACTTCCAACATCCGTGCTAATCTGACGACTCTTTCAGACAAACTTCGCTATGAAGCCAGCCGAAGCGTCCCGAGGCCACAAATTCGTGGTGCTGGGACCGGAACGGACGTTCGGCCTCCGAGCCTCCACCTTCAGCACACTCGTGAGTTTACGCTCTGTTCACCTGGCGCTCATTGGGTTGAATGCGACGCCTCTGCGTTACTTCTGAGAAGGGGAGCCGCAGTATAGAATCTAGCCCCTATTGATACATTGCAGGGTTGAATGCACCAATTTTATTCACTATCTTGCCGGTGCTGAGTCAAGTTTATTCCCTGGGATTATGTGGTGGCTTGGTGGGCAAAATGTCCATGATCAGGCAATGATCATTCGGCCCATGATCACACAGGGCAGACCAGACTGATAAGGATTTTTGATTGATTAGAACCCATTATGTATGCCAGTAGCTATGTTTTTGACTATCTGCTATCAAAGCAACGCATCGCCGCCAGAGAGTCACTTGATGCCTATGACCGCTGAAGTTGAGAACTGAGCCTTGTCATTTATGTAAGAAGAACAGCATTGGGCCTATGACTACACACTGAAGAGAACTACTTCCACAACTTTGAGGCACAACAGCACTGAGCCCCACCATATTCCATAAACCAACTGAACCAATGCCCCCACAAACTCTGGGATCACTGAATCTGTTATCTGTTACTCTCTGAATCTGTCTGAATTGCCATCCATGCCCAGCGTCTCGTGTTTTTCCTACGTGCGGCGATAGTTGGCCAAGTGGCGCCATGTGGCCTGCCCGCGGCGCCCAGCTGCGGCCAGGCTGCGTGACCGTGGACAATAGGTCAGTGGCCAGGCGCCAGCACGAGAGCGGCTTTTGCGGCGGCAGAAGTCGTGTGTCGCCGGAGACGGCGCTGAAAAAGCGCGCTCCGGTCACGCCGGCTAATTTCGTCGTCACGACCCTCGCATGGGCGGCACTGTTTGAGTCGGCGAGTGGTTAAAAGGAGGATACTAGTGGCATGATGATATGATGTTTTACTGCAAAGGTAAGCGTAAGTCATGAAGTAGCTGAAGTAAATTACATTTTGCTGATGCCTTAGATGACGCTATGATGTTTCGTCGCTTTATAATTGCTACACCATTTAAGTCAGCTGTCCATTTTTCGTCACTTTATAATTGCTACACCATTTAAGTCAGCTGTCCATTTTTACCGTTGTGTATCATTTCAGTTCCAGATTATTCCTGTGAACACTCCACCGTTATGAAATGTATTTGATTAAGATATACGATATTTTTATGCATCCGCACTTCAAAGCCATTCGGTGCGCGAGTAATGATTAAGTATTTGCGTTCGGTTCAAGTTTGGTTTGCTTTGTCGGGTTGGAGCTCTTTCAGCCAGCAATGACCATTCTAGAACTAAGTGATTCAGGAGAGAGGCAAACGGTGGAAAAATGCTGCGACTGCCGCGGATTGTGACCGATACCGGGAGGTTGCCTGCACAGGCACGCGACGTTGGAGGTGTGTGCCGGTTCTCGGGGAGAGGGGGGGGGGGGCGATTTCGACCCTCTCAACATCGACCCTCTAGCGTGACCGCGGGGTCGATTTGTGATTGACGACCGCGGCATGCTTCCAGTAAAAATGGGCACTGCGAGGATGTCGGGTGAAGATGCGGCTGAGGAAAGCGTGGAGTACGTTATCGGATGCGAAACGGCGGCGTTCAGTTCCCGGAGGGAAACAAGATGCTATCTGGAGAAGCAGTCCAGATAATGGCACGTCCCAACTCCATGCGATGCGTCCCGGCAGACAGCCGTGCTACGTGTACAACTTAAGCATCCGGTCTCAAAACATAGCCATACCAATGTCAACAAGTCAACACCAGTAGTCACTGTGTCCCGGCCCCACCAGCAGGGCGCCAGCTTAGGTCAGAGATCATGACAAGCGAGCCATGCAACAAGCGTGGTAGCCCCAGCAGCCACAGCGCCCCCATCTCGGCCGATTCCACAAGTCACCCAGCGCCGCGCCGGCGCCGAGACCCGGTGTCGGTCCGCGCGTCGGGCGTCCGACCCCCGTCGCCTGACGACGAGAGAGTCGAGCCGTTTTTCCGGTCGCTGATTGGTCGGGCGGCGCAGCGGCGGCGCCGCCGGCTCTCCGCAGTCGACCGAGCGCCGTGTTGAGTTCGGAGCGCACGCCGGCTGGCAGTCGAGCGCCCGGCGTCCTGGGAACGCGTGGTAACCGAGCTCTCGCGTGCTCAGCCGTGCTGCGTGGGTGTCGTGGTCGGTCGGTTAGTGCTCCTTGCGCGCTTGGCAGTGGGTTGCGGGGGTGTTTTGTTCGGGCGTGGCTGGTGTCCTGTGAGGGCTTCGCAGACGGTTGGTTTGTGCTCCGTGCTGGTGTCACGGGCGATCGGTTGGTGTTCGGCTCAGGGTCTGCAGCTTGTCAGCGTCCTGTGTAGACGCGGGTGGAAAATGTGAAGGCAGGTTGGCGTTGCCCGGTTGCCGGAATTAGCTCGCTTCAGTGCAAAGGACTGAAGTTGTGCTTATTTTGGTGAAAGTTGGTGGCCCGCCGCCGCACCCAACACACCGTATTCTCCACCCATGTTCGTGGGTTCGCATTCGCCAGTTAGTTTCTGTGTGGGCGTCTCAAACGACAGATCAACATTCTGTCCCGGTGGCACAACTTCCCGGTCGGTGTCCTCCGCGGGTGTCAGAGTCGAGAAGTTACCGTCTTGTGTGAGCGTTGTAGTTTGCCCGTTAGCGTTCTGTGCGGGCGTTGCAGTCTCCGCTTTGCGTGCTCCGGCTCGTGTGCTCTGTGAAGGCTTCTGTCGGTCCGTTGGTATTGGTGTTGGTGAGGGCATTTCAGCATTCGATTGGTGTTCTGCGTGGACGTCGTGTTGATTGGGTGCCGCCTCTGTGCTGGTACCGCTGCACGCAGGGCGTTTGTTCGTCCTTTGCCCTCTCGCACATGTGTAAAATTAGTAGTGCCATTTCAGTTTGGTTTATGTTCCTCTGGTGTGGCATCAGTCCTCCATTAAGTTTTGCACGTCGTTGTGAAGGCAGTGTGGCGTCACAAAAGTCAGATTAGTTTATGCATAACCTTTCCTACCCCGGGGAATATAATGTGCCATCACACACATTATATACTTACATCAACAATATTTATTGTGAGTGTCATGTCCTTAAATTGCACGAACATAATTGCAGGCAAGATGTCAGCTTGCCTATTTGTCTTTATTTCGCTTGGCAGATCGTACAAAAATCATTTAGATAGTCACTCAGTTTCCTCCAGAAATGGTCTTGCGCTGGTCACTAATTGGTGGAGGTGACACACATGTCCCTTTTTGTTTGTCAGCGTCGTTCTGTAGCAAATAGTAGAAAGTTTTAAGTAAAAGTAACTGCGATTGTCTCCATGCGCCAGTGATCAGCCTCCGTTCTGTTTTGCCTATCATTCCGCCAAGCCTTGACATTCGCTCGAGTTTTATGTGCTTTTGCCCTTTTTACCCCGAGTGAAAATGGACACCAGCGAGGCATCAAACAAAGCCTCCACCAGGGGAGCGACGGCAGTACACTTAAACCACATCCAGCTCTTGCACCACACCCGGTACCTTTACCCCTCGTGACCGACTGGCCGCTAGCGGCCGCCCCTCGTGACCCCGGCGTCCTGTGCGGTGTTGCAGCGGCCGCGCCGTGCGCTGTGGTGCAGACCGGCCCGCCTGACCCGATGACCGAGTGGTCAGCCACGGCACCTCTGACCCGGTACCGTTACCTAGCCACCGGCCGCGCGGCGCACGTGCAAAAACCGGCCGGCCGGCGGCCCGTACCGGCGGCCGGCCGCGGACGACGGGCGCGGGCGCCGCGGCCGGTCGGGGAGGCGAGTGCCAGTTTTAGGAGCACGGAGGGAGGGAGACGGACGGTAGATAACGAGGTCTTCTTGCCACTCTTTTGGAATGGCTTTGGAATGGGAAGTTGATGCGGGGTTAAATTCATGTTAGCACTGAGAGACGTACTTGCCGCTGTTGTTGCGAATAGCTACACCGCAGCTTGTGTCCAGCAGCATCGAATCAGGGATCTGCACTAGCTTACCGTCACCGCACGGGCCCTTACACAGATCACGACCATTAGAGCACAGTGAAGAGCTACCGCCGGGCCAGGTGGCTCGGGCCCGCTTCCGCGCTCGAATTTCCGGTGGGCTGTGGACCACCTGGCACCAGCGCCGCCAGCTCGGCTGTTCCGGTCCGCCGCCGGCGCGATAGCGATCGGGCGGCGGCGCGACTGCCGGCTCCTCCCGTTCTCCAGTCCCGGCCGCCCGGCTCCCCGGCTGACGGTCGCTGCCATTCACGGCGCCGGCGCGCGCGTCCGGGCGGTGACGGCGGGGCCCGGCCGGCTGACCCAAATAGGCAGGGTGCGCGCGCGTCGACCAGTCGCCGTGACCACCACAAAAAGGGTGCGCTTCTCCAATGAAACCGCCAAATCACGGCGGCGTGCCGGATACGGCCAAAGGTGACTTCCAGCGAAGCCGGAACGGTTCTTCATTCTTTCTCCGCCTTCCCCCCTTGTCCGCACTTTTTGTGCCGACCCCCGCTCTATTAGGGATGAAACTTGCGGCCGCGCCTGACACATTTCACATTGTCTCCGGGGCTATATGGGGTAATTTGGGGTCGTGACGGAGTTTCTGTCCAGACGCGATTTATCTGCCCTGTGCCTTACTCTGTTTAGGTGAGAGAGGTCGGTGACCTTTTTGTTTCGGGTGGCTTTTTTAGATCTGGGCGCCTTAAGGCCAAACAGATACAGGATTGAGTGAGTAGAACTTTTTCAATGCGCTGTTAATTCATCTAAGGCGTTTCAAGCCTATTGAATGCAAACAAAACCGGTCTGTCAATCAATTAGCTGAGAGACAAATCATCCAGTGGGCTTTTTCTCATGACCGCTTTCCAATGAAACCAAATGAATAGATCACTCCGTCTATCGCCCACATTTCCCAGTCATTTGAGGCTATTTCATCGCTCCGAAGTTGTTTAACGGATCACCGCGCTCTTCAAGACCAGGGAAGTCTCGTCACTCGCCGCCAATGCAGTCCCACGACCGTCCTTGTCGGGCTGTCATTTCCCGGATGACTTACCAGCTTTCTCGGCGGCTCCGGGGTCCCATCGGCGGTTATGGCTGCGGTAATTACGGTGCATATTCGAGGACGGTCGTTTCCCCGGCGAGTGGCTCAGCCTCTCTGACAGCGTCCCACATTCAGACGGCGCCAGCGCGCCCGACCCCGTGTCAGGAAGGTATAGCGTGGCAGACGATCGGAGCTGAGCCTGCCAAGGTTTGCCAAACAGGAAACGGCACGCCGGTCCCCTGTGATGACGAGGATGATAAGATCCGTTCAATGCCCTAATTTTGTCATGCAAAATTAATCGTGAGGCCCAAATCGCAACATCACTTTTTCGTGAAAGTGTCTTTTAAATACGCACCTTTGCACCAAGCAAATCCTGACCGGGCTACTGCACAACGGCTACTGCACAACGGCTACTGCACAACAGCAGCCTTATGAAATCACCAACTGAATCAAACCAATCGCGTGACATGAGAGTTGACATGGCTGCGAGGGAGTGACCACCACTCACCGGTTCGTGACATGGTAATTACACCGACATGCGAGCGGTACAGCACACATGCAGCCGCAACCACAATAGTCAACACGCACTGTCCCCGCCCGTGGGAGTTGCCAGACAGCTCAGACGCCTTCGTGTCTCCCGACCCCTCCCTGGGCGAGATCCGTCCCGTGACCATGTGGTGCCGTGCAGTGCGTCTGTTTATTGATTATGCTGCTCCACCCCGCCGCTATTGCCTTGTTTGTGCGCTGTTGTCGGGTTTCGTGGGGCGATGTGCCGTATCCCTGTCCGTGTGTTTGGAGCGGCGGCATAGCGCTCACCGACCGGTCGTCGGTGGCAGGTATGTACGGTCGCTAAAAGTCGATCACTTTTCTGGAACAGACGCCAGCGGTCAGGGAGTGTACCTCAATTCGTTCGGGGGAATCAGAAGGCTGAACAATCTACTACCGGGACCATCGTGCCACTTAGCACACTGTGAAGTCGTAAAAACTCAAGAAAGTGACCGACGAGCGGACAGTGACGGAATAGCGTGCCTGTGCTCGAACAAACTCGTGCCTCTGTGTGTGGGCTCGCTCGCGCTCGGCCGCACCTCTGGACAATGTGAGAGGTCGGTGTGAGAACCTGCCGACTTGTGGCCTGTCACGTGGGACGTCAAATCAAAACGCGAGAACGACCGCCGCCGGAGATGGGGAGGTTTTCGAAGAGCCGCTCTGACGTAGAGGTGAGTTGCCGGTTTCAGAGAAAGTCGCATCGTGAAGAATGGCTCGATATGTTATGATCACTCGCCCTTCCCTCCGAGGTCTCTGTTTCTTGCCTCGTGTTTCTGTTAATGAACCAGGCAGGCTACAAGTCACTTTCACTGGGTTCGAACTGCTCCGGTGTTGTCTTGTAGTGACCTATTATGAACGGTGAAACTCTGACCCATACATGCCTTAGATTCCTTTGCATAAATCGTCGTGATTGGATTTCTTGGTTTTGATCGGCGAGTCGGCTACCTGCTTATCAGCTATCCAACCAATTCTTCCCCACATATCCGCAGCAAAAATCCAATTTCGTGCACGGGGATGACGTGGTATGCAATTACGGCATATTATCGCGCTGCAGGCTGCATCTTATTGGTTTATTGGTCTTGTCTGGTTGCATATAAGAACACTATCGGCTGCTTTCGCTTCAAACATTCGCCTACGAGCTGGAGATAGGCTTCACACCAGTGCCGTAATAAACGTAACGGTTGCCTTACTCGTCCCACTCTTTATCTCGCCCAGGGGCTCTTTACTTGGAGAGGAAGGTAGCGCATAGATCGACCGAGAACCCCCCCCCCTCACCCCCAAAGCGGAAGAGAGAGAGAGAGAGGGGGGGGGAGGTAGAAGAGAGGAAGATGAAGTAAGACAGAGGGGAGATAGGTAGGATGCGGGGGATCCTGAGTGGTACAGTCAGCGCTTACTTCTGAATAGCAGCCATAAATGGGCTTTCAATGGCGACCAATAGAAATTGACGCATTGATCACCCGCAACAGAAGAAAGAGAAAATAGATGGTTCCCATAGCGTGCCATTAATTAAATCGCCGTGCTCAACACGGCGCGGAGAGGCGCCGGGCTCGCTTCTCTGACGCCAGTCTCACACGACCTGACGTAAGATGCGCGCCATATGGCCACAGGTGTGAGACCGTTACACGGAGCACTTCCCGGAGGTGCCATCTCCTGTCAGTTGCCGTCTCTAACAGCCGCCCTCGCCAGCGGACCATCGTAAAGCCGTGGGGGTCGGTCCGGCGCCGGCTCCCAACTGGCGCGGCCATTGTTCGCCTCAGTCGGTCTCCCCGTACGCCGCCTCTGTGGCGCAGCAGCCCTTTGTTGGCCAACCTGAGTATGGGGGGCCATGTGTGGTGTGGCGGCACGCTGGAGAACAGACCCGGGAGACAAACGGCCTGTGGGTTATGCGCATGTTATGGATTGGCTGAACGGCCTGTCATCTGGCGTGCATAATTAGACCAAGAGGTTTCGCTCCTGCTTTTAGCAGCAACAAGCAGCTTGCGGTTGTGTCGAACAGAATAGTGGCTTTTAACCACCAAAATTGCTCGTTTAGGCTTTAAAGGTGCTACGTTGTGCGCACAACGCGGTTTATTCCTACGCACAGTTGATTGCAATTTATACCAGCATTGCGTAAGTATAAGTGCAAACGTCTTATCAGCATACGGAATGCCCTCAGCACCTATAAATGTTTGCATTCTGTGTGGCGTCCTCTCTGAACCACAGGAGAGTGCATCAGTCATTACGGACCGGCGCAGGATGTGGCGCGTGCCCAAGTCCCAGCCAGACCTCCCAGTCACCGCCCGTGAGGCGGCGCTCCCCGCGCTGCTCTCAGCAAGCTGTCACTCATTCCAAGCGCTTGTGCCACGCGCCGGAGCCCCAGTGCCCGATCGCGGCTGCATCAGGCAGGGCCGCGACTCAGTCAGCCGCCGCCACCGCCGAGGCCGACCCGGTGTCTCCGCTTACCTCGCCGCCGGCCCCGGTCGGGTCAGTGGAACGACGGAAGTCGGCCTCCAGTGCGGCCTCCGACCGGAAGCCGAGCGTGAGATAGCCCGTCTCCGGTCATCACCGACGGAGCAATCCAAATAATGAGCTGGCTCATGACCCCTGAATCGGCGGTACGGTACGGCACTACCACGGCACGGGGTCATCCCAGCTGCGTGCCGCCGAAGGGTGTTTCTAGCGCAGTCGGCGGCCAGTGTCAAGAGGTCATGACCTGCGCGGTCATTTTTCGTGCGGCGGTGATCCGGCCCCTGATAGCCGCCGACACGTTCACGGCTCGGTGATCTTGCTCGGCGGCGCTAAGTGGAACCAAAGACGCGGCGCCTGCCGTGCTTACCATGGAGCCAATATCGGGGCCACGGTGCTTCCAATCCAACGACCATCTTCATGGCCCAGCGAGCTGGTCGCTGTTCTTTTTGTACGGCGTTCACGGTCGATATATGCCGTCGCATGGCTCTTGTGCGCATAAAAGCAGGAAGAGTCTTTTTAAAAGCAGCGTTTAGCCCCATTTGTCGGGACACCCACTAGTCACGGTTCCATATTCAGCAAAAGATTGTCTTCCTTTCTTTCCAAAGCTACGGCCCGTGCGCATCAATCATGAGAAAACAGGCAACTCACCTTAGATGGATTGACTCGTGACCATTCTATGGCAATTCCAGCAGGAGGGATATTAAATATGATGGTGCCTTGATGACACCTATTTGTTACCCCGTAAGTTTGCATGCACCTGCGTGGATCCTCATCACCGAAATTGTTATCTCATGCTCTGGAAAGACGTGAACTAAATATGATCAAGACATGACGAGCCCTCCAAACTCCAGGCCTCCGCCCTGCAGCCCTGACATGTAAATCGAAACGCGAGCGCGCCAGAACGGGCGGCGCGCGCCTCCCTTGCCCAGGGCTCCTCTCTTCAGGAGGTGTCAGTAATTGATTGCCCTCTGGCGGAGACAGGCGGGCGGGGACGCCGACGCCGGCCGGATGTAGGTCGAGCCGGGCAGCTGCCGCGCGCGTCGGCTGGCGCCGCGCGCCGGCCCTCTGACGTCACAGGTCGAGTCAACAGCGGTACGGCCGGGCCGGCGTTGGAGTGTGACGCACGGCCTTTAGACGCGGGTCGGCGATCAGGGCACGCCGGGGCCGTGCGGCCGTCAACATGCAGGCGAGGGCGGTGACGTCGCTGACGGGTCGGCGATCAGGGTACGCCGGGGCCGTGCGGCCGTCAACATGCAGGCGAGGGCGGCGACGTCGCTAACGGGTCGGCGATCAGGGTACGCCGGGGCCGTGCGGCCGTCAACATCCAGGCGAGGGCGGTGACGTCGCTGACGGGTCGGCGAGGCGTCGTGGCGTTCGACGGCGTGGGTGACGTGTTTGTTTCAGCAGCACTCACGCCAGCGATGTACTGCACGTGCCGCACGATGCGCTCAGCGAGGCTTGCCACCCTCATCACGCAGCGCGCAGGCCTTGTGTGCTCGTGAGAGGCTATCAAGCGTACCCCGGCCGTAAGATCACAATGGCTGAACGCTCCGATGCAAACGCAGACATGTCTGGCAGCCCGAACATTCGCCGTGACGCCCTTTGGAGCCATAACGGCGCCACTCCGCCGGGCCGTCGCGGCACCAGTGTCCCGGGTGTGACGATGTGGATAGCCGAACCAAGTCCGGGTCTCCCGTGTGGGGCGCCTTTCAGACGCTTCAGGCCCGTTCTCAGGGCGACTCAAGCTTGAAGTTGCGCGTCGTGCGCGTTTGCGCGAGGCAAACGTTTTGCGCGCGTGTGATGTCCGGTGCAGTTTTGATGACAGCCAACATGACCGCTTCGTTCAAAAATTAACATTAACAGATGGGAGGTTGATTCTGCGTCATTAGGCGAAAAATCAGAGCACGCAACAGCGCGCTTGTTTGCATTTGCTGCAGTGCGCTGTCATGTTCTCGCAGCAAAGAGCGGCGTACCCGACGTGCGATTCCCGGCACGCAGCCTGCAGCAGCGCACCCGCCGCTGCTCAGCCCGGACATCCCTCTGTTCGCAGGAGCAGAAGAAGCCGCTGCCGTCGTGGTCGCGCTCCTCCACGTCGTCGACATCGACGGCACCGTCGGACATCACGTTTACGCGCGAGCGCGGCTGCTCCAAGCTGACCGTGTTCTGCGCCGTCTTCTCGGTCCTTATGGTCGGGCTCGGCTCGGCGGCTGGCATCTACTTCGGCTGTGAGTGCGCCCGCACGCGCTGGCTGGGAGGGGCTCCGGTGCCGGGGCGGCACGGGGCGGAGGCTTCCTCGACGTCGAGCAAGCCTTCGGGGGGCAGGTGTCTCACAGATCTAGGGGCAGGTATCCCTCCTGAAGCAGAAGTCTCTTTGAGCGTGTCCCGCGGCTCAGCGCATGCTTTTTAAGGATGTCGGCCTGGCTGTCTTGAGTTTATGGTCCAGGTTGTCTTCGCCTGCGCTTGTCTTGTTGTGAGCGTGCGTGCATTCCCACCATGAGCATCTCTCGAAACGTAAATGCCTCCACGTACCTGGCTTCTGCATATCCTCCTCTCTCTCCCCCTCCCCTCTCTCTCTCTCTCTCTATCTCTTTCTCTCTCTCTCCCTCTCTCTCTGTCCCTCTCTCCCTCTGTCTGTCTGTCTGTCTGTCTGTCTGTCTGTCTGTCTGTCTGTCTGTCTGTCTGTCTGTCTGTCTGTCTGTCTGTCTGTCTGTTGTGTCTGTCTGTCTGTCTGTCTGTCTGTCTGTCTGTCTGTCTGTCTGTCTGTCTGTCGTCGTCTGTCTGTCTGTCTGTCTGTCTGTCTGTCTGTCTGTCTGTATGTCTGTTGCTGTCTGTGTCTGTCTGTCTTGTCTGTCTGTCTGTCTGTCTGTCTGTCTGTCTGTCTGTCTGTTGTCTGTCTGTATGTTCTGTCTGTCTGTCTGTCTGTCTCTCTCTTCTGCTCTGCTCCAGTCTCTCTCTCGCTCTCGTCTCTCTCTTCTCTCTTCTCTCTCTTCTCTCTCTCTCTCTCTCTCTCTCTCTCTCTTCTCTCTCTCTCTCTCTCTCTCTCTTCTCCTCTCTCTCTTCCTCTCTCTCTCTCTCTCTCCTCTATCTCTCTCTCTCTTCTCTCTCTCTCTCCTCTCTTCTCTCTCTCTCTCTCTCTATCTCTCTCTCTTCTCTCTCTCTCTCTCTCTCTCTTCTCTCTCTCCCTCACTCTTCCTCCCTGCCTCCTTCGCGGCCGGCTCTCTCGGACGAGCCTGTTTCACGTGTGCGGTGGGGCGGGCCTCGCGCGTTCCCAGGCCTTTTCACCGCCGCTGTCTGGCGTGATTGCCTGGACACGTTCCGTTACGCGACCGTTGCCGGCACTCAACCTCCCGGCCGGCGTGGTGCTCCGCCCCGCTCACGGCGCACGAATTAAGAACATCCGCACGATCTTAAGTGTCTCCACGGCGGGGTGGGCTTGTGCGGTGGGTGGAGTGACTTTACCGACAGTTTTGATGTTGTGAAATGGAGCGCGCTAGGGCTCGATGGAGCATGCAGGCCCACAGCAATTGAAGGGGGCTTTGCAATCTCGGGAGTTTGAGAGTAAGTACTCCATGCTGATTTGCTGTGTCAGGCAAAAGTTGCACCGGCCACGCATGCGTTGTGCAAACTCATCAAATTCGGTTCACTTTGCATCACAAATATGCGTAACGAATAAACAAAGCATCTCAGCTTTTCAATACGATCGAAGCCGGCTGAGGAAATATAAACACCTTTTGGCGTTGGCGTAAGCGAACTGTTGTCACCCGTTTTCCCTGTCACCAACGCTTGTTTTCAAACGATGCATAAGAAGCTCGAGCTTTCTTTGTCTGCTGGTTCCACTCCGCAGTCCCCCATGCCCGAGTTTTTGCCTTGCATTGTGTGCCACTGCGCTCTCCGTCCGTTCCCAAAGTCATTCAGTAACTGGAGTGGGGTCACACCGTGCGCGCCGGTCGGCCGCGCCGCCGCCGGGGTCAGTTCGGGTCACCGGACCGCGGTTGCCGGCCGGCCCTTTCTCCGGGCGCGGACCAGCCCGACCACCGCGGTCCCGCACGGCGACCTCTGACCGCCGCGGTCCAGGGGTCGCTTCCGGTCCGTCCGTACGTCTCGCGGCGGCGGCGGCGGCGGCGGCGGCAGCGGCCGCGTCAGAGGGGCTGCAGCCTGATCAGATGAACCGATGAGCCCGCCCTCACTGAAACTGACGAAACTGGAATGGGCGCCAGCACCGGGACTGTGGTGACCAGAGTTCACCCGAAGGCGACGCATGACGTTTGTACTAGTAGGCAAAAATGCCGTCCGGGGCCACGATTTTGACGTCAGGCGCGTGGGTTCCTCCTGAACCGTTATATGGATGTGGCCTCGCTGTATCATTGACCTATTTACTGTCGGCGATTTCCCGCAGTACCGACTCCGAGGATCCTATCAGCAGCTCACATTCCCGTAAAATTGGTTAGTAATGAGCGTATGAATACCCACAAAACGTCAAGTCCGTTTGTGTATTGTCGCAGTGATTTCAGATTTTACGACACCATTGTCGTGTTCATATCACAAGACTATTTCACGCGATTCGGAAGTCATTTCAGGTAAGAGCGCAACGCTACCTAGACCATGGTGTCGCAATAGGGTGATACGAAGGCATTTTTTCAGAGAATTTTCCATTCCAGTAAAAAAGAATGCGCCAGGTGTTGTCCCAGTGTCTTGTGTGTCGCGGCTGGGGCCCTCCCTCGTCGACGGCACAGTCTCCTATCTAGCGGGGCGGAGTCGGATCATCCCATGATTGGCGTTCGCTCGACCCAAATATGCGTAATCAGGGCCGGAAATTACCGATGGTTACCACTAATTTTAGTGTATTTATCCGAAACGGGCCCAGTGTGTCCAAGCCAGATATATGGATGCATCGCGGTAAACTTGGGTACTACCGGCTTTGGATATCTAAGATGTATGGTGTTGAACATTTGAGCGGCGTACTTTGCGTGATTCTCTCCCACGAAAAACTGATTTAGGATCATAAAATGTGGTGTATCTCGTACGTTCGACGCTTCGTCTTCAGCAAATCCACCAACCTGCCTCAGTCACGCGGGCTGGTTCTCTCCCTGCCGGATGCACTGGGTCCAAGGCTTTCTGTCTCGTCCTGTCTGGGAGATGTTCTCGTTCTGATCATTTATTGTTGATATCTCTCACGCTGCTTACCGCGGTGACATCCAAACTCTCGGGCGGAGGGCGGGCGTGAGCTCCACTACAATCCGCGTGCTGATGGTAGGCGAAGCCTCTCCTGGCGAAGACGCTCATTCCATCTTTCAGCGTTTGTCAGCATTTGTGACAGTAACGCTGACTCTCGCTTATTGATGCTTTGTGGAGCGGATGGTTTTTCGGATAGTTCGCCAAATGCTCTGCTAACAGAGGTTTTTCACAGGTGAATGTAAGTGCTGAATCATTCCGTTGAAGAATGTGTGCACTCGCACTTACATAGCCCCTGACAATCTGATACTCGGAATAACTTCCTTCGTTATTGTAGGCTTATGCTTTGAAACAAAATGTTCACACCCACATATCACCTCTAGCCGACTGCTTCCGTTTCAGTGCCCAAATGAGTGGAAGGCTGCATGCGCAGTACATCACAGTTCAAGCTGTGTTCGCTTATCCCCAGAACCCCGACGACACGCGACCCGTGATCCGCCGTAAGGGAACCTTCAGGGGCGCCTCGCCCAGACGCTCGTCCCGGCATCTCCACCCGTCTCAGGGTCGGGTCAGGCCAGGAGACCTCTCGGCCTCCTGACCTGAGACTTTCCCAGACCTGAACTGAAGCATGACGTTTAAGTTTGTCGGCACTTGGCGGGCGCAAGAGCACGCCTCTGTCGACGAGCCCCTATAGTAAGCTCAAGTAGCTCACCAACGAACCAACTAGCGACACCAACTTCTTACTCCCTCTCGCCCTGTTTTCCCCGTGGCGGGAGTGTGATGCCCTCCTCTCCTGTCGCCACAGTTCTGTCGGACCAGCTGCGCTCGCTTCGGGTCGATGACCTGCGGGTGTTTCGGGGTCAGCTGCGCCTTACCTCGGGTGACAGCTACTCCCGCGAGCTGGCCGATCCGAGCACGGCCGAGTACGTCCGCAAGGCCGGCTTCTACCGCACCAAGCTGGACAGCATCTTCAAGCACTCCATCTACAAGTCAGCGTTCGTCGGCACGGAAATCCTCGGCTTGGATGGGTACGTCACCGGCCTGGGCCACTCTCTGGAAATGCACGCGTGCAGAACCCGAACTGCAGGGTCTGAACGGAGGGGTGTGCCGATAGTATATAGGTGCAGTGTATAGGAGAGCGATTAAGAACTTAAAAATGCCGCCAAAATGAAGGCAATGAAAGAAACGATATGAATGAAACAATTGTTCAGGATGTAACAATATCACGACGCCGCTGAAACGGTATCGTCATATTATAGCTTGGAATTGTGTCAGTTTTGGGACTCAGTTTCATTGATCAGTACAGATGAAAGGTAATATGTAGCGCGGGCAGAACCGATAGCTGTTTTGTAGCCGTTATTAGCAAATAGGCGTCCATTATCGTACGTAGAAAATTGTATGCGCGTAGCACGGAGCACAGTCCACGTTAAACAGCTTGCAGAGCAGAGCGTATGCCGCGTCTAACGCCTGAGTAATCACACGTCCCGTTAAACAGCCACACCAGTCAGGCATAAAGGGCAATTGGACTCACTCTCACGAACACATCTGTAATCACTAAACGTCAGGACGTTTCGTTCCGGTTTCGCCTTCGAACATTCCCGAACGCTTCCAGGACGGGATAAGGATCTTGACTGACTCGTGCGGCTCTCCCGCGTGCTGACGTCGGCATGGTGGAGGCCGCTGCTGTTGATGACGGCTCCGATTTAATGAGCTGGCGCTTGATTAGTGTTGACAGCAAGTCACGCCTAAATCAGTACCTAATGGGGAGAGATGTGAACTTTCTTTTCATTGAATGATACGAGTGCAGCTCAGGTATATCACACAGCGCAGGTACATCATCACAAGCACCGGGTAGCTACTGATACGATCATTTCTTTTCTCTCCATGCATTTTGACTGGTAGATCATGCCTCAGTTTTTGGACAACATTTCGCTGTGAAACTGACGGTTTTTAATGTTCTGACTTTATTTAGGCTACATATCTTCGCTGCTATCAAAACACCTTGGGATGGCATCAGTAGACTTGCCCATCAATACGTCTTTTCAGCTTTGATCTGAGTGCGCTTACACCACTAGCTGAAGCTGACAATGCCTCTGTTTTCGTCCATAAAGTTCAGGAGATGGCGACGTGGCCTTCTGCTTCAGTCACCCACTGGATACGTCAGCCACCTGTGGATGACTTCAGATTTGAGTGTCGCGCTGCGCTATGTGATCTTCCAACTCAGATGGGCGCAGCGCCGTTCGCACTTCTTATCATCAGATCGTAGATGGCGGGTACGTTGTCACAAGCATGTTATCGTAACGTAGCACCTAATACAGCCTTTAAGCATTCATTATTTGTCTTCCCTTTGTCGAATAAACAACGACTGGGAAGCCGACTCCAGTCTCCCTCTCCACATAGCCAATCTCCACTACACCGCCCCGTTGTCCGCTAGTACTGCCGACTTCTGTTTCCAGTATATAGCCGAGTCCGGCGGCCCCGTCTGACACGGGTGGAGCCAGGTTTCTGCCGGGCGTGTCACAGGTCAGCGACGCCTCGGGCTCCCTCCCACCGCCCCGTTGCAGCCGGCTTCCGTGCCATTTTCACGGCCGACTTTCGTCCGGGCCGGAGCCGGGAAAAGCGCCGTGCGGCGGGCGTCGCGCCCGCCGCGGGTCAGAGGTCACGCGCGCACGCCGCCGCCGAATACGCTGGCTCGGCCGCCACCAGCTGGGTGGGGAGCCTTTCGGCGCGGACGACTATGACGCGGCTGAAAAGGCTGTGTGTAAGCTGGTTTCCCACATTGTTGCGTGTAGAAAGATGGAGAATATGTGAAGCAGTCGACTGAAACCAGGGCACACTCTCACACTCTTGGCCACATCATTTATCGAGTGTTGCGTGGTAGTTCGGGAGATGTACGCGGGCAATTCCACGAGCTCTTGGTTTTTCGGCGGTGTGAGCTGGCAGATCTTCTGGCAGCGATCGACCTGCAGTACGTCTGGAGATGATGGTTGGACGGCGTTATCAAGGAGACATTGCCTATTTTGACGACATGGGCTTCCCAGCTGTCAAGCGGTTGTTGTCTACATAATGTCTCTCAACCCACGATGAGCTCATGATAAGTTCATGATAATCTCATGATAAGTTCATGATAAGTTTGTCCCGGTGGCTCAGTTGGTTACAGCGCCTGCATTCCGATCCACCCACCCGTGGCGTGGTGGCTTGGAGTCGCTTTAGGGCGCTCGCTATTTGCCCTTGGCAGGTATGGCCCGCGGCCGGTGGCAGCGGTCACGCTAAAGGTCAGTTGGCGTCAGAGGGCAGGACGGCCCGTTCCGAGCTTTGCGACACGTTAAGCTTTCGCCACTAGGTTCTGCCGTTGCCTGAAATTGCGCGATCGGATGGCGGGAGTCGGGGCTCACACAACAGACACTGCTTAGCGTGAGCGCTGATCCCAGAAATCCATCCATTCAAAGAGTTCGGATCAAATTTATAAAAAAGTTTAATGGACACCTTGGGGACGCGCGTTTGCGGAGAGCATACACACCGTAGGGAAATACATGGTAGACCGACACGCAGCAATGGAGCACATCGCAGGAAATGCCTAATTTGAAAGACATTTTAGACGACGGCTTAAAACAACACGGACATCAAGATGCCGGAATCGCTACACATTCATAATCTTCATCCGAGACTGAACACATAAACATCATCCTGGGATCTGCTTTAAGCAGCATTTTTAGGCAACCCATGTTTAGAAATAGCTTGCCATTCGTCGAGATGAACATCCATGACCGCCGACAATTTTTTATCCTGATTCTCGGCGCGGATCTTCGAAACCCTCCGGCTGAGCCGCCCGTGTTTCGGGCAACCTTTCGCAGTACCGTGTATCAGGTGTTCTATGTGTGGGAGCTCGGATGATTTATTATTTTTAGTGTTTTTTTAATGTCAGTGGCTGCACAGACTCCGAGCATTCTTTGGTTTTACGCTTATTAATTTTTAATGAAATTGTTCCTAACTTTGATTGCCTATGGCCATGAGCACAGCTTGAAAAGTCGAGCTTTGCCAATATGGCCCATGCTGCTTTGATAGCATCACCTATCTAATAGCTTCCTGGCCAAGTGAAGGTCGATTATTATCAGAATACAGTACCCAACTCGCAATGGGCTTAGGAGAAGCGCAGTATTATTCGAAAATAAATATATTTTTGAATGAAAACATTCCACTGGGCTACCAAAAAGGCAACGTATCGGCACACGAGTAATTCAATTGGTCTCGGCTTCCGTAATATTTCCTTCTTTTTCGCTATAGGCGACCGCGCCAGGTCAATAAAGTCACTATCTCCACGCTCGCAGGCCCAAATCATGGGAATTTGCACCCGTCTCTGGACCGAGACCCAAAGCGTTGCGTCATGCGCCACTCCTTGTCGTCTGTGACCGCCATGACTGACCTTCGGGCCCCGCGTATACCCACAGCCACCCGGAGGAGGACCTGATCGTGCACTTCAACCTGCGCGTGGACACGCGGAAGATCCCGGTGGACGCCGGCGACCTGTACATCATACTGGCCGAGGAGCTGCGCGCCGGCACCGTGCTGAACCAGTACGAGATCGACCACGACAGCCTGCAAATCCAGGGTGAGCCTATATGGTCCGCTGCCGGCGTCGGCGTTGACGTCGTTATAAAGGTCCACTGCCGGCGTCGGCGGTGACGTCTTTATAAAGGTCCGCTGCCGGCGTCGGCAGTGACGTCTTTATAAAGGTCCACTGCCGGCGTCGGCGGTGACGTCTTTATAAAGGTCCACTGCCGGCGTCCGCGGTGAAGTCGTCGTTATTAAGGGCTGCTGCCGGCGTCGGCGGTGACGTCGTTATAAAGGTCCGCTGCCGGCGTCGGCGGTGACGCCGTCGTTATTAAGGGCCGCTGCCGTCGTCGGCGGTGACGTCGTCGTTATTAAGGGCCGCTGCCGGCGTCGGCGGTGACGCCGTCGTTATAAAGGTCCGCTGCCGTCGTCGGCGGTGACGTCTTTATAAAGGTCCACTGCCGGCGTCGGCGGTGACGTCTTTATAAAGGTCCACTGCCGGCGTCGGCGGTGACGTCGTCGTTATTAAGGGCTGCTGCCGGCGTCGGCGGTGACGTCGTTATAAAGGTCCGCTGCCGGCGTCGGCGGTGACGTCTTTATAAAGGTCCACTGCCAGCGTCGGCGGTGACGTCTTTATAAACGTCCACTGCCGGCGTCGGCGGTGACGTCTTTATAAAGGTCCACCGCCGGCGTCGGCGGTGACGTCGTCGTTATAAAGGTCCGCTGCCGGCGTCGGCGGTGACGCCGTCGTTATTAAGGTCCGCTGCCGTCGTCGGCGGTGACGCCGTCGTTATTAAGGGCCGCTGCCGGCGTCGACGGTGACGTCGTCGTTATGGAAGGAATCTACGCTCACGTCGGCTTCCGAAGCCTCCCCGGACCGTGTCGTGTTCTGGTTCGTGCGCTCTTGACGTGTTTTTTCTCCCAGGATTACGTGCTTTACGGACGTGTGCAATGTTGGTTTGCTGGCTGTGGCCAAGCCTCTGCTCCACCGAATGCTCAGGGACTTGAGCGAGGTGTTGAGAACGGCAGCAGTTTGTGGTTTGAGTTTCGGACACTCCGTTTGATTAGCTGAACTGAGTTGGAGCTGTGAGTCTACCCTTTGGTGCGTGTGAATGAGAGCTTATAGTCAATACTTGACCTCCTATAGGAGGCGGTATGTATGTCGGTGTGAGTATTCTGGAACAAAACGCCCCGCTGTGTGGACAGCTGTTTGGTGACTGCGCATGCCTGCCGTCTGCGTCATTTAGGAATGACGTTGAGAAGCTTGGAGACGTCCCAAATCCCTGCTTCGGCCAAAAGCCGTTTTGCGTGGGCGAATATCCTGCCGACCGATGTTCTTTTGAGTAGCGGTGCAAAGTAGGCCAATCATAACCGCTTCCTGCCTCTTTTCAGAGCGCACAAACGTTATGGAGTCGCTGCCACCGGACTTGGACCCGTTGGTTGACCTTCAGACGACCCCGCGGTCAACAGAGGTCACCGAGGTCACGCTGAGGCCACGGCAATGCGAGCCGTTGGAAGTGACCTTTTGCTCCCACATGCCGTACAACATGACGTCATATCCCAACGTTCTGGGCCACGTGGACCTACGAGAGATCAACGAGCACCTGATCTCCTTCAGGTACCGATTTAAGCTGCTGTGATCACGCTCCTTTCACTGCACGACCTCTTGAACTCGCGAGGGCCGTATGCACAACCTCTTGGCCGAGCCTGTCGCCTCGCTGACCTCCGCTTTTACGCTTGATCGAACGTTACGCTTTCACGCCCACGGACCGTGCCAAACGAATTGTAATGTTCTTGACTTGTAGATTTGGTGAGGGTTATTTAGAGCGTTGATGTAGTAAGGAAACAAAGACAACACTTTCACCGAGTCGAAGCCTTACTCTGGCTGCAATTGGGTCAATTTTGTCTTGCAACGACGAGTTTTACAATTGCACCCTTTCTTTCACTCCTACCGCTTTCATCTTTCACCTCCCTCTCCCTTCCCTGGTTCTCTTTCTCCCACTGCTTTTCTCTGCCTTCCTGGAGCACGTCCACACGCGCCGGGCGTGACGTGACCACGCGCGTCATTGCGGACGACTACTGACGACCGTAGCCGCCTAAAGCACGGAAGGAGCCGCCGCACAAACTGTTTCGAGTTCGGCTGCCGATTCGTGACATGAACTCCCTGTCCGACAGGAAGGTGATCGGCTGTCTTCAGTGGTATAATTGGGGCGGGATATGACAGTGTTGTACCGGAGTAACAGGCAGGGAACGGGAGGGCGGGTGGCCCGGTGTCTCCCATTCCACACGCGCGGTGTGAGGTCGACGGGTGGGTGTTGATGGGCCGAAATGGGCCCGTTTCCAGACAGTGAGAGACGGGGACTTGGGCAGGTATAAAACCATTTGGCGAATGCAGTTTACCGTGTTGAAGACGGCACGAGTCGACAGACCCCTGTCGACTCGCCCGCCTCCAGCTCCGCAGCGGCTGCGTGACATGACGCCGTCGTCTGGCAGGGAGGTGGTGGACTCGGAGTGTTTCCGGCTGGCGCACGACTTCGTGTGCCAGCTGCTGCAGCCCGCCTGCATGGAGGACCAGATGGTGCTGCCCTGTCGTGACTTCTGCCACGACTTCTACTCACGCTGCAACCCGCGTCTACCCGAAAAGTTCGTCGACAGGATCCTGTGCGACAAGTTCCCGGCCCACGGAGACCAGCAGTGCCTCTCTCGGCCAGGTAACGGTGACAAACGTCGGACAGAAACTGATGCCGGTTGGGCTGTATACAGCAGCAAAGGTAGTCCAGCTTAGCTCATTGATTGGCAAGATCGGCGTTTGGTTTCACTAGATACACGACGATATGTCGACTTGGATATGCATTATGCTGCGCAAGTCCGACTTGCGTAAGGCGTTTCCCCGTACTTACACGATTATGAGCCTGCTCAAACATGCAGATTGTTCAGTGCTGACACCACAGAAATACTATGCCTGAGCCCGGTAAATCCTGGTCCTCTCTACAACCCGGCTGCAGCCGCTTCGACCAGCCCAGTAACGCCCTGTCCTCTCCACACCCTGGCCACAGCCTGGCCCTCTCCACACCCCCGCCACAGCCTGGCCCTCTCCACACCCCCGCCACAGCCTGGCCCTCTCCACACCCCGGCCAGAGCCTGGCCCTCTCCACACCCCGGCCAGAGCCCGGCCCTCTCCACACCCCGGCCACAGCCTGGCCCTCTCCACACCCCGGCCGCAGCCTGGCCCTCTCCACACCCTGGCCACAGCCCGGCCCTCTTCTCACCCCGGCCAGAGCCCGGCCCTCTCCACACCCCGGCCGCAGCCTGGCCCTCTCCACACCCCGGCCACAGCCTGGCCCTCTTCTCACCCCGGCCACAGCCTGGCCCTCTCCACACCCCAGCAGCAGCTGCTCCGCCGGCCGGCCGCCCTGCTGACCTCCGCCGGCCGGCAGGCTGCGTGCGGGACCTGGAGCTGGCCGGACACGGCGCCCGCGTGTGTGACGGCACGCCCGACTGCACCGACGGCGCCGACGAGGCGGTGTGCCCCCAGTGTCCGCCGGGCCTGACGCGCTGCGACGGCGAGCGCAGCTGTGTGCCGTCGGCCGCCCTCTGTGACGGCCACGCCGACTGTGAACAGGCCGGCGACGAGAGAGGATGCCGTGAGTTAGACAGCTGAGGCGGGCCGGGGATGGGGGTGGTGTTGGGGCGATGAGATGGCGATTTAGGGGAGGGTGGATCTGCGGTGGTGGGAAGGGTGAAAGTGGTGGTGGTGTAGGTGGAATGGGTTTGAAGTCGTGTTGGTTGACCAGACACGCACAATAGCGCATGGTTCAGCTTTGGATTATTGTTATTCAACTGATAACAATATTAAGTCAAATGTTTGTAACCAGATAGCTCGACTTCATGTTATTTTGACGCGTCCAAACGCAGGAGGCAAAACGTCCACACAAAATGTAGCTGGCTGATATCTGATTTGCCAAATGAAATTACGTGCAAACGGGAGTACATTTCGGCGACATCATAGGTACAGCTTATGCCCCCCCCCCCCCCCCATTTCCACTAAAAGCCAATGGTGACCAAAGCCCACAGAAAGACCTGCTCTGGACGGATTTACTAACATCATATGATGGCCATGGTTGCGGTGGCGGTGGAAATCGCGATGAGTGTTATGACTGAGGTGGCGGTTTTGTGCACTAGTTCGCAGCACTTGCTGCGCTCGCTAGATTCGCGAATTATTGAGGGTGATATCTTAGAATGCACTATTGTTGTTAAAAATGTCCCCATTGTTGCAAACGTTGAAATGGCGGTTGAAACCCGGTCAATTGCTTCAAAATGAAGGTCACGGTCTTCAACCTTGATGTGTTCCCTCATCAGCATGTTTATGCGGGAGCACGACAGCCGCTCCGCCGTACTGAATGAGATTTCCCATTAATTAAGGGCCTTTCTTAAGAGCTTTGCATCCCGGGAAGTTTTGAAAGTCCAGCGTCAATCAATTAGACTTAAACGTTCCGTCCAAGCTGGGCCATCCCCATTAGAGCCTAAATAGGACATAAGTAAGGAGATTGCCCATTAGATCGCAAGTGTCTCCTCCGGTTTACAAACAATGCGCTACGACGGCGAAAAGAACACGGCGGCTTTAGTACACCCTCAACTGACCTAGTTAGCTCCTAACGACAGGCCGATTACCCCGCGGATCAGACTGAAGTCTTCGTCACGCATTAACCCGCTCACGCCCACACCCCAGCGTCGTTAAGCGTGTGTCATGTGCCCGCGCGCCGGACGTCGTTAAGCGTGTGTCGTGTGCCCGCGCGCCGGACGCCGTTAAGCGTGTGTCGTGCGCCCGCGCGCCGGACGCCGCTGACCTTTCCCTGACCTGGCGCCGCCGCCTCCGCCGCCGCCGCCAGTGGGCCTGGACGCCCGGCAGACGGAGTCCGACTCAGCGGCGGTGGAGGGCTTCCTGACGTACAACGGGTGGGGACGGCGCCACCACATCTGCGCCGGCGAGGAGGGCCAGGACGGCCCGGAGGAGGGCGCACCGCTCGGCAACCTCAGCTCGGCCTGCGCCCTGCTGTCGTACAGGTGGGACGGGCCAAACGCGCGGGGCTAGGGTGCACACTACGGCTGTGAGGGATAAATTCGTCGGGATAATTTTTGTGGTATATGACATTGTTTTACGTTGCTAGCAAGAAAGGTTACAATGATGCGTCATAGGGATTTTGACAACGAAAATGAACGTTTTGGTCACCATGATGGCTGCTTTCGTAATTTCTGATGACATGCTGGGGCGGCGATATTTATCCTGCACGGTATCAGAGATACGGCAAAGTTTCACATTTACATTTTGTACTAAATGTTCATGTTTTTACGCCCAGTGGTGTAACATAAATTCATCGTCATTGTATCACTGTCAATGCCATCAATGTCAGCAATGGGAGGTGACTGATGCGCAGGGCGGCCACCGAGGGCAGGTGGCCACGCCATGACACCTCCTCACTGACGCTGACACCTGACACTGACACTTCCTCACGACAGGAACACAGAGCTGGTGGAGTCCCGTCTGGTCGCCGGCGACGCCAGCCCCAACGCGACCGAGTTTGTCCAGCTGCAGGGCCTGTCGGAGGCCGCCAGCACCTTCCAGCCGTCGCAGTGCGCCTCAGGCGGGGCCGTCTACGTCCGCTGCTCCGAGCTGGGTCAGTGGGGCGCGCCGACGGAGCCGGGACAGCCGGCGGTGCCCTGAGCGCCGCCGGGACAGCCAGCGGTGCCCTGAGCGCCGCCGGGACAGCCGGCGGTGCCCTGAGCGCCGCCGGGACAGCCGGCAGCGCCCTGAGCGCCGCCGGGACAGCCGGCAGTGCCCTGAGCGCCGCCGGGACAGCCGGCAGTGCCCTGAGCGCCGCCGGGACAGCCGGCAGTGCCCTGAGCGCCGCCGGGACAGCCGGCGGTGCCCTGAGCGCCGCCGGGACAGCCAGCAGCGCCCTGAGCGCCGCCGGGACAGCCAGCGGTGCCCTGAGCGCCGCCGGGACAGCCGGCGGTGCCCTGAGCGCCGCCGGGACAGCCGGCGGTGCCCTGAGCGCCGCCGGGACAGCCGGCGGTGCCCTGAGCGCCGCCGGGACAGCCAGCGGTGCCCTGAGCGCCGCCGGGACAGCCAGCGGTGCCCTGAGCGCCGCCGGGACAGCCGGCGGTGCCCTGAGCGCCGCCGGGACAGCCAGCAGCGCCCTGAGCGCCGCCGGGACAGCCAGCAGTGCCCTGAGCGCCGCCGGGACAGCCGGCAGCGCCCTGAGCGCCGCCGGGACAGCCAGCAGCGCCCTGAGCGCCCAGCCGGCGGGTCAAACGGACCTGCAGGTGTTGCCGAGGGACCGGCTGGAATCCAATGTTGTCTCGTTCCGTTTCCTGGTTCTTTGCTTGCTGATAATGTGATCGGAGTAGGAACTGATGATGTCGTCTCGCCACCCTTTTAAAAGATCGGTAGATCTGAGCGTATTTTGAACACTATGTGAGGAAGGAGCATATGTGAAGCCCACTTTGCAGGATAGATCAAGCCGAACGGCAGCATCTTTTCTCAAACCCACACAAGTAAGTCACGCCGAAAGCAGATTCTGGTGGCTCCCGCTGCGTGCTTGTCCGGTCCGCGCCAGGCCGCCCGCCGGCCGGGCAGCCGCCGCCCCCTCAGGCGTCACAGGCAGCTCACACCGTCCGGTCCGTCGGCAGCGTGCGGGGTGGCGCCGCACCAGACAGCGCTGCTGGCCGAGCGGCCAGCGCGCGCCACGGCCGCCGACTTCCCCTGGCACGCGCGCCTGTTGCGTGACGGCCAGCACCTGTGCGACGCCACGCTCGTGCACAACCAGTGGCTGGTGTCGTCGGCCGCCTGCTTCGAGGGGTCAGTGGTGGATGGTGCGGAGCAGTGGGGGGGGGGGGGGGGGGTCTAGGGAGAGGCAATGTCATGTTTATGGATCTTGTGAGAAACTGTTGGTGTGATGAGATGGATGCGATGTTAATAGTCATGACGAAAGGGAGTGTAATGGTAGATTGCATGTGTTACACGTGGAGAGATGCCAAAATGGTGAGATCATTCTCATTTTGTGTTGGGCAGTACTGCAAAAACAGGGCTTGCTTTAAAGGTACGTTTGAGCGGTACTTGTTTAGCTTGAAAGGAGGCCTTTCGGTGCGTCTTTGCTAAAAACCTTGCCAGGACAAATTCACACCGGTTTTTCAGCCTCACGTTACAGTCAAAACTAACTCGTGAGCTGCACAACATCTCATGAAGCGTCCGCAATTGAGACGTTTCCTGTCCGATTTCAGTCGGCCACGCACGCGGTGGCGCGCCGAGTTTGGATCGCCGCGCATCGGCAGCGAGCCGCCCTACCGGCAGGCGCGCCGCATCACGGGTATGGTGCGGTCGCCGCTGGGTGGCAGCACCATCACCCTGCTGCGGTTAGCCACGCCCACCGAGGACTCGGACCAGGTCCGGCCTATTTGTGTGGATGGCGAGGAGCCGGGGAAGGGTGACATCACCGACTGTTACACCATCGGCTGGAACCGAACAGGTGAGCGCAGAGGGCACGCAAGTCAGTGCGTTGCCTTTCCCATGACCCGCGTAATTTGACCAGTCGTGTGCGCCTTCAGCCTGATGTTAATATATCTGAATGCCCCTGCCCTCGCATGCTCTTGCCGTAATATTTTGCGTCTGTGTACGCCTGGCCAAACCGGGATGTGTGGTCTGACCAGGAAAAGCTGGCACCAAAGTGAAACAAAAAGCTATCGGCATATATTACATTAATCTGTGTGAGCCATATCGGACCAAACGGATCAGCCACGCCAAGGGAACATGCGACAGTCGTGTGGTAGGTGCGTGCAGGCCGCCAATGACGAGCGACGCACCGTTCCAGACGCTAACATGCGGTACGTGCCGCTGAGCGTGTCACAGGACAGCGTCTGCCTGAACGGCACGGCCGGCACGAACTCGTCCATGTGCGCCAGGCCACGGGCGCCCGACGCCCTCTGCGAGGTGAGGCCCAGTCGTTCACTAACGAACTGGTGACGGTTTCTATTAGGCTGTCACGATTTGTAAGTGGTTGGTGTGGGACGATGGAGTGCGATGCGCAGTCTGCCGTTCAGCCAAGGATCGCCCAGGCCCAGACAAGTCCAAGTCAAGGGTTTGGCAGGAGGGCGTTATGCGGGCAGCGCTGGGAGATCTAACGCATCGCTACGGTCGCGGCACAGTTGATGGTGGTCAGAGTTTGCCCCTTCCTTTTCGCGAAACCCCTACAGGGAATTTAAAATATCTGGATAAGTTCTCTGAATGGCTGCTGCACTGCAATATTCAAAAAGTCGGAGACCATAAGCAGCCATGCTCAGATATCTGAACAGCGGATCTGAACCACATCGCTTGTGACGTAGAGCCAAAGGTCTGGTCAAGAAGTTTGGGGTTTTCCAGCCCACCCAGTCTATACCGAACATAAAATTAACCACGAAACTGAGACTACGCGCGGAATGTGCACGCCTCCAACTTGGCGTAATACTGCAGCACCAAATATTTCTCCAAGTCGGGTGTCTTTTAGCAAACGTGACTTCAGTGGACGAATGGGGCTGGCAAAACCCCGTGACAGCCCGCACCGCCGCCGCCGCGCCCGCATCCCAGCAGGCGTGTACGCCTCATATCAGGCCTGTCCGCGTGGCATTAGCCGTGTCCGTGCCAGAGCAGCCGTGTCTGCGTTATATCAGGCCCGTCCGCGTCGCATTAGCCGTGTCCGTTCCCCAGCAGCTGTGCCCGCGTTACATCAGGCCTGTCTGCATCGCATTGGCCGCGTCCGTGCCCCAGCAGCCGTGTCCGCGTCGCATCAGGCCTGTCCGCGTCTTAGCAGCCGCGCCCGCGTAACATCAGGATTGTCCACGTCGCATTAGCCGTGTCCGTGCCCCAGCAGCCGTGCCCGCGTCACATCAGGCCCGTCCGCGTCTCAGCAGCCGTGCCCGCGTCACATCAGGACTGTCCGCGTCTCAGCAGCCGTGCCCGCGCCCGCAGGGTACGGAGGTGACGGGAGCGCCGCTGGTGTGTCGTGCCGGCGGCCCGGCCGGCGCCTGGCGTCTGGTCGGCGTGGCGGTGCGCGAGCACTGCCCCCTGGCGGGACCCGACGGGCGGCGCGCCTTCGACGCCGTGGCCGCCAACGACGCCTGGATGCGCACCAGCATGGCGACGTTCGTGGAGGCGCCACCCGCGCCCGCCCCGGCGCCGGCCTCCGCCTGAGGGACCGAGGACAGTGCCGGCCGACGCCGAAGGACGCCGTGTGCAGTGGACACGTGGTGCGCGGCGGTGACGCGCATGCGCACCTGATGGATGCCCGTTGGTGCCCGGCTGGTGTTGTGGGGACCGGGGCGTCGCGCGACTGCGGCCAATCATTGTTGTTACTAGCCATACTCAGTGCGTATCGTGATCGTGTGAACTGTAATTCGTCCGCTCTATTTATTATTGATGACAATACATCTACGAGTACAGATATTTTGATCCAGTTAAGGGGAGCAAAAGATTATCAAATTCTGGGATGATCACACTTAACGGCTTAATGAGAACAGGTCAGATATCCAGAACGTTCACGCCTAATGGCAACTAGGCACTCATCAACATGCCACGTTTTACTTGCCGAACATAAAGATTTGCACAGTAATCCTCCCCCAAAGCTAAACGACACCTGCGCAAGTCAAGCAAGCACCAAATTTTAGTCCTTCGCGCAGATCGTGGTCCCGGAGTCAGACATGATGATTCAAAACATGCACGCCTTACTCCGTTCATCTCCTCTCTCTACTCCGACACAAGTCAGCGGTCGCTGCCAGGACACAAACAGCGGTGTAGAGCGGACCCTTATCCTAAAAGTCTACGTTGCTACGGCAACAGCCCACTCCTAAGACGACAAAGGCAATCTGTCGATCGACACCCAGCGCAGGCCCCGCTCCTAAAAGTTTACGAAAGTTGTAGACTAAAACCAAGCAGGATATTACAAAGCCAGGTGCCGCCGGAGGTAACAGCAGCCATCTACCCATGCACCATACGCACGAGTCAGGAGCTTCCGACAGCTAGCGCACATCCATCCTTCCCAGATGTGGCTCTTCTCCTGCCCACTCCCACAGACACCGTCCAAAGGCCGGCGCCTCCGCCTGTTCCCGTCATTACGGCGGCCAAGGAAGGACGCAACACGCCACAGATTCGAACTGCGACCATCATGGACACAGGCGGTGTCGTCACTTCTCCACCGTCCTCGCGCCCAGAGAGAGTTGGACCGCCAGCTGGCCAAGCTTCAGCCGATACAGCCTCGGTACAGCGGAGATGTACTCAGTGCCTATGCGGCAGAGCTGCTGTACTCGGAGGTACCAGACTTGGTGTTCCAAATACTGGCGCAGCGGACGTACCCCAGAACTGGGGGCCGTGCACGCAGCGCTGTAGTCACTGTGGCAACGCCCTGGTACCGCAGGGGACTGCCCGACCAGCAGAACTGGTGTACTCGGCACTCAGAGCTGGTCGAGCAGCTAGCGTACTCAGCAATGGCCCAGCGGGCGCACTTAGTTCTGGCATAGCATCAACATCGGCACAGTGGACGGCAGCAGCCGGCCCACCCAACACTCGCGTAGCGGTCGGACTTGACACTTCTCAGACACACACTCAGCGCTGGAGCAGCAGGACCACTTAGCGCTGGAGCAGCAGGACCACTCAGCGCTGGAGCAGCAGGACCACTCAGCGCTGGAGCAGCAGGACCACTCAGCGTTGGAGCAGCAGGACCACTCGACCCTGGAGCAGCAGGACCACTCAGCGTTGGAGCAGCAGGACCACTCACCGCTGGAGCAGCAGCTCCACTCAGTGCTGGAGCAGCAGGGCCACTCGGCCCTGGAGCAGCAGGACCACTCAGCGCTGAAGCAGCAGGACCACTCAGCGCTGGAGCAGCGCTCAGCAGCAGCGCAGCGCAGCATACCGACACTAGGCGCCAGCGCCGCCTCAGTGCTGGTAGGGCGGGTAGCCGTACTGAGCCGGCTGACCGGCTGGCGGCGCGCCTGGCGTCCCCGGACGGTACTGGTACTGCTGGTGGTGGTAGCCGGGGTACTGCTGCGCGCCCGGCGTCTGATAGTAGGGTGCGTGCGGCGGCGCTGCCGGCGGGTACTGGCCCTGCGGCGGTGCGCCGGCGGCCGGCCCGTGGTGCGGGTAGTGGTACGCCTGGCCTGGTTGCGCGCCGGCCGCGTACGGCTGGCCCGGCGCCGGCGGCGGCGCGTACCCGCCCGCCTGGCCGTAGTGCTGGCCGCCGGCCGGGCCGCTGTACGGCGCCGGACTGCTGGTCGGGTACGGCGAGGCCGACGGGTGTGACTGCTGGCTGCTGGGCGGCGCGTACTGGCCGGCCGCGTGTGGCGACTGCGAGCTCGGCGGCCCGGAGGCGGCCGCGCCGTGCGGCGCCGGCTGGCTGCTCGGCGGGTACGGCTGCGCCGCCGCGTGGCCGCCCTGCGAGCTGGGCGGGTACGGCGAGCCGGCCGACTGCGCCGCCTGACTGGTGGACGTATACGGCGCCTGCGAGGCGGCCGGGTACGGACCCGGAGCGCCGTGCGCGCCAGCCATGGACGGCGGGTAGGGGCCGGGCGGGGCGTGCGGCGACTGGCTACCCGCCGGGTATGGCTGCTGGCCGCCGGCCGGGTAGTGCTGCGGCTGCGGCGCCGGGCCGCCGGCCGGGTACGCCTGGCCCGGCTGTGCCGCGTACGCCTGCTGGTATGGCGACTGCGAGCGCTGGCCGCCCGGCTGGTAGGGGTGCGCGCCGGCCGGCGGTGCCATGTGCTGCTGCGGCCCGGGCCCGGCCGACGCCGCCGCCGTCGGGCTGGGCGTGGCTACCGGCCGCGGCTGCGGCGTCGACGACGGCGGCTGGCCGGCCTGTGGCGAGCCCTGCGGCGCCGACACCGGCCCACCCGGCTGCGGGCTCGGCTGCTGCTGCGGCTGCTGCGGGCTGCGTACTGGCGGGTGCGGAGACGTGGCCGCCTGCGGCTGCTGCTGTTGCGGTTGCTGCTGCTGCTGAGGCTGGGGCTGCTGCTGGGGCTGTTGTTGGTGCTGTTGCGACTGCTGTTGGGCCTGCTGTGGCTGCTGCTGGTGCTGCTGCGGTTGCTGCTGCGGCTGTTGCTGCTGCGGCTGCTGCTGCTGCTGTGGTTGCTGCTGCTGCTGAGGCGGTCCAGTTGGTCGCTGTTGCTGCTGCTGCTGCTGGGGCGGCTGCTGCTGTTGCTCAGGCCGGCCGCCGGTCGGTCCAGCCGCCGACACCGGCTGCTGACCGGGGCTCGGCGAGCCGGCTGGCGCCGGCGGCCCGCCTGCCGGCGCCTGGCTGACGGCCGGGTACTGGTAGCCCGGCTGGTGCTGGTAGCCGGGCGCGTGCTGGCCGTAGTAGCCCGGCTGCTGGCCGGCGGCCGGCGGCTGCGGCGGCTGCTGCGCCGGCTGCGGCTGGCCGGGCGGCGCCTGGCCGTACTGGCCGTACTGGCCGGGCGGAGGCTGCGCCTGTTGGCCGCCGCCCGGCCCCGCCTGGCCGTAGCCGTACATCTGATGGCCCTGGTAGCCCGGCTGGTAGCCGCCGCCGTAGCTGGACGCCTGGCCGCCGTAACCGTAGCCCGCCTGCGGTGGAGAAGCGACGGTCAAGCTGCGCCCGAACGTACCGCGCCCGGGCACCGACACGCACGCATGCAACGTGAGAGACCGTCCAACCATGACGTCATCGAACACGTACGAGATTCTAGACGTGTCGAATGAGCGACTGTTGATGCCAAAGCCGCGGGCCCAGTCTGGCCAGTGGTCGGAGGGAGGGAGGGGGGGGGGGGGGGGAGGCCGGGAAACATCACGAGCCACCTCGCCGAGCCTTGACCATTTTCTGCGCATGTCCGTCAGTCCTGATACCGAGTCCTGTCCCGCATGACGTCCGTGGTGCCCGCCGAGATGTGACTGCGGGGCCGAGTATGATTCAATAAGTAAGCCCAGACGACGGCATGGCGGGAGACGTAGTTTAGCAATTCACCTTGCGGCGTTGAGGTGGCAGGCCTGCTTACAGATGGCCTTGTCACACAACTGTGAATATAGAACAAGCCGGCGGCGAAAAAGCCGTCCGGTTCACGCCACAGAAAAAGGAGTCTTGTTGCACTGTGTGGAAAAACTTCTTACATTTGAGTGATTTTACATACAGCTTGCGAACGGACTCGTACTGCAAATAAATTGAAAACGTGGCTGACCTTGGGTAAAAACCTGATACATTGTCCAACATTATCAATAGGCATGAAACTGGAACCGCAAAACACAGCGGCAGCATAAGCCTGCTTTTTGGCACGCAATTAATACTTTTACACTACAGAGTCGCCTGATGTTCTGCCCTAGATTGCACTGTTGCATTAGAAACTGTCGACGCACGATGGAAAGATAACGGTTCGAAAATCACCATTTGCATCTTTACGTCAATAACTATCAATTGCAAAATTTCTCAAGAGACCTTTCCAATCAGAAATTGTTTGCTCATAGTCACCAAATACGTTCGCTACTACGATCGGAGACGTCCCACCTTCCCCATATGTCTATCCAGCAATTTGTAAATGGCTATATATCCCACAGTCACGGCATATTTGGAACACAGGAGATCCTGGACAATAGATCCAACTTGCCCCTTGGGTCGGACGATGCATGCGCGTATGTATCCTAAACTCTGGTGGACACATACCACCACGCCGCCTGGGTCACAACTACAAACACACACAGTGGACTGTCAGACGAAAACCTGTCAGCACGCCGCATGGATCGGTTTGACCTCTGGCTGACAGAGCGGTCGGCTCGCGCCGTACCCTGACCTGTTGTGGTGGGTATCCCTGCTGTGCTTGGGGCGGGTAGCCCTGCTGGGGCCGGTACTGGCCCTGGTGACCTGCGGCACGGACACAACACACGTTGGAGACCGGGCCCATAGAGAGACACATCGCCAGCCGGCCGGGTGGTGGCGGCGTCAGGGCGGCACCAGCCGCCTCAGTTGCGATTGGTGGCTAAACGTTACAGGTTTATCCACTACTATCAGCTATCTATATCACTTGGTGGCCAGGTTCAAATGGCGCACATGCGACAGCCAAAGTCGCCGCACCGAGAGGCGATGCTTTCACAGGGCGGTCCACAGCATCTGATCGAGATCAGGCTGGTAGCCGGCGCACAACCTTCAAGCTTGATCTGTGCTAACGTGGTACGACGGAACTAGCAGATGTTCAGGCTCACTTTTATGACACTTTAACCCTGGTTACCACATATCGCAAAGCAAACCAGCCTTTTGCTGGATGACTCAACAGCAAAATGTTCGTGCAGTGCGCACAAAACATGTATCAGTGGACACTGGTCTTGAGGTGTATCTATCCTGGTGCCCCAAACGTCCCGGCCCGCCCCGCTGCGCGCCGCGTGCCCGCGTCGCCGCCCGCCGGCGCTACTCACGGCTGGCCATCATGCCCGGGCTCTGGGGCGGGTAGCCGGCGCCGTACTGCGGGCCGCGCTGGCCAGCGGCGTCCGCCGGCGCCACGCCCGGCTGGGCGCCCGGCGGCTGCGGCGGCTGACGGAGCAGGGCGACACCGTCACAAACACAGAGCCGTGCACATCATGTACATTACACGTATTCTTTACAAGCAGTGCGTTTGCAGTGCATGTAGTATGCAGCATGAGAAGTGCAAACTACATTTTCAGCAACAATGTATGCTAAAAACATATACAATCCATACTGTAACTAGCCAAAACGCACTGAGAACATGTGATGTCGAGCACACTGGGATCAAGCAATCAGGCAAAAAGAGAGCAAAAACATTCTGTACAAAAGATTAAGGAGCAATTCAGGCGCTGGGAGTTCAATCAATTACGGAGAGGCTGATGCATGGGTCGCTGTCATTGGGCATTACTCACTGGCAGAAGGCTCTGGATGTTCTGGCTTGAGTCCGCGATGGAGGCCAAGTAGACCAGGTTGCGGTGCAGCACCTGCTGGAACTGGTGCACCTCCTGTAGCTTGCCCTTGTTCTGCAGCTCCTGGATGGTCTGGATCAGCTGGCTGTTCTCATCCAGTAGCTAGAGGTGATAGTAGATGGATGTTATCAGTGAGGGAGCACACAATTATTGTATGCAGAAGAAACAGGTCATATATTTTTGCAGTCATCCATGCAGACCCATTGGTTTGCCATTACATACAATCATATTTTTAGATGTTATGCAGCAATCTGTTCTCTCCATTTGGCTTCTATAAACACCATACATTTAATATTGCAGAATGAAGTGTTTTATTTCATGCCAAGGCACAAAAGCCTGCCCACACAAGGTGCCACAAGCACACAATCATAATGATTCCATATACAATGAAACATAAACAGGCAAAAAGCAATTACACCATCCACAAATTCACACCTATAAGACTTCTCCTGTTACAGGCAGGTGAAATGGAACCCATGAAACATCATGCTTCAGACTGTTGGCAACAACCTACAATAACGTCTTGAACAGGGATACTGACACAGGCAACACTCCAGCCCATTAGGAAGGGGGCACCACGGATCCAACCCCGGATGGACATGGGAGGCACAGTAATGCAGTCCCAGAATAGACATGTCCCACACACAGGCAGCCCTGGTCCTCCCAGATCCAGACCTATCAGCAGGGACACACTGGACATCTCACCTTCTGGATCTGCTGGGCATTGGGCGGCGGGCGGCCAGCGACGCGCTGGTGCTGCTGCTGCGCCGGCGTCGCCGGCGCGAACATCACAGACATGACGGCGGCTGGGGGTCGGGTGCCAGGTCACTGATGACCACCTGGCAGCCAGAACAGGGCCCGGTCAGGTCGGAGGCATGGCCCAGTGGGCTGGTCAGGTCAAAGGTGTGGGCCAGAGTGGGGCTGACAAGATCAGAGGTGCAGACTGGGAAACCAGGTCAGGTCAGAGGTGTAGGCCAGTGGGCTGGTTAAGTCAAAGGTGTGAGCCAGAATGGGACCCAGTCAGGTCATAGGTGTATGTCAGCAGGCCAGTCAGGTCAGAGATGTGGGCCAGAATGGGCCTGGTCAGGTCAGAGGTGTGGACTGAGGAGCCCAGTCAGGTCAGAGGTGTGGGCCAGAATGGGCCTGGTCAGGTCAGAGGTGTGGACTGAGGAGCCCAGTCAGGTCAGACGTGTGGGCCAGAATGGGCCTGGTCATGTCAAAGGTGTGGACTGAGGAGCTCAGTCAGGCCAGAAGCATGGACTCAGCAGTGTTGGAAAACTTGATGTTTTCTGGCATAATGTATGCCAGGAGATTTTGTACTCCAGGATTGTGACTAGGTAAAATGAAATATTTGTATTCCATCATGATGCAAAAAGAACAGCTTTGCAAAAACTCATTTTACCTCTTTGTGTCAGGACAAAATAAAACCAAAACATGCAACGGCTTGAGACTTGCTGCTTCCATCAGGAGCCATGTATTGACATCTGCACGAGAACAAATCTTGCACCCACCAGACTAATATGCCCAATAGCAAGCAGCCTGTGTTGCCACCTAGGTATATGATAAACCATGCAAGGAAATGTGAAAAATAAGGTGTGTGAATGTTGAATGGAATCACCTTTGAACAATACTGGGAAATCAGAAACGAGTACCAGAATCGCAGCGGTCTGTAGATTAGCAAAGCTTTCACTTCCTTCACCCTATGCAGACCACCTCAAACTTGAACATTGAACATGACTTAACCTACCACTGACGACGAACCGCATTAATTGCCAAGGATGCAATGAAAATTCATAGGAAACCGCACGCCCAACCACCTACCGCGACGGCCGCCTACCCACGCGCCACCACTCTGTCATGGCAATGCGAATAAGAGAATCACTCGCAATTCAGTGTCGGAAATGTCTCAACTATTCAGCAGCTTGCGCCCGCCTCCCAGCTCAGGTTGGAGGTTGAATATAGCAAAACTCTCTAATTGGTTTTAATGATTCGTCTTTTCGTGACCGATTTGTCAAGAGCATGAATATTCTGCTCGCACTCATGCCTTAAACAGATTTGTAAACATTTCGAGGGAAGCTGTATAGAGGTGGGCATCACGATTATGAAGAAGGGCTTATTTGTACTGATCCAGAACCGCCATGCGGTTGTATTTTCGGCCACTTCCTGGTATCCAGAGTACAAAAATGTTATGGCAGCTGTGGATTTAAACCAAGTTAAATTTGTCACTTAAGGGTGTGAAATTAAAGCTGGTAATTCAAACTTTACAAAATACCATTTTAGGTCGAAAAACATTCCTATGAATAGCCAAAAAAGTGTTTGGAGACAGCCATCTCACTCTGGCAAAAACACCAGGACACCAGAGTAACACAAACCCATAACTTTGCCCGGCAAATTAAGGGGAGGAGTTTATTAGGACAAAAACATCAATTAATTGCAACATAAATTATCATCTTCAGCAATGACATGACCGGCGGAGTCAGCGGAGTGCCTGACTCCGATCCCTCTCGGCCGGCCTACACCGGTCTGTCAAGCATTGTACTTGTGCTGGCTCGGTAAATCGGTTAGGAGTGCCGCCTGTCTCTATTGTTTGGGTGGACGTGCAGGGCCTTGTGTGCTGACTGGGAGTGGGAAGGTGGTCATGAATGTTTAGCTGTTTTTAAAACCAGTTAGCTCGTGCAGCGTGAGTAGCGGGACTGTGGTGGAGCGTGAGTAGCGTCATCGTAGTGGAGCATGAGTAGGTGGCCATTTGTGGCATGTTCATTTGCATTTTTTGTGTACCATTTTTGTCTGGCCGTGCGCATCATACCCACCCTCTGTTTTGGAGGGTGTATAAGCCCAGTGTGTAGCCACCCTCCATTTTGGAAAGTGTATAAGCCCAATGCATAACTACCCTTCATTTTGGGGGGTGTATACACAAAGCCTTTAATTAATTGCAAACCAAAGTATATGCACATGTGTTTCATAGTCCAGAGCATGGGACTGTGTTGTTTCAGTGTGCCATGTTCAATAATGATGCTTTATTTCATTTAAAGTGATTTTACATGAATTTCTGTATATGCTAAGTGGTGGTTTTGTTGAGAGACACCCACTGCACTATTACCTCGCAAAGTTAACATAAATAAAGCTGTAATGACCCACAGTACCTAGATAATTTTGTATTCCACTCTACAAAATTTGTACTCTGCTACCAGGATTTTTTTTTCAAATTTCCAACACTGGTGGACTGAAGAGCCCAGCCAGGTCAAAGGTTTGGGCTAGACTGGGACCAAGTCAGGTCTGAGGCACAGACTGAGGAGCCCAGTCAGGTCATAAATGTGGGCCAGCAGTCCAGTTCAGTCAAAGGTACAGACCAGTCTGGCCAGAGATGTGGACTGCCTGACCTGGTCAGGTGAGAGCTGCAGGTTAGTGGGCTGACCAGGCCAGGGGTATGGGCTGGGGGGCTGGTCAAGTCAGAGACGAGGTTTAGGGGACCTGGTAGGGTCATTGGTGTGGACCAGGAGTCAGTCGGGTCTGAGGGACAGGCTACAGGTAGGGCTCACACCATGCATGGCCACAAGCTGAGTAACAGCAAAGCTAGAAAAAGGGAAACCATAAAAGCTCAAAGAAGCATAAAAATATAAAGTTATGCAGGTCATGTACATTTCATGCCACATCCTGGCATGGCATTCACCATCAGTTCACCACCTATCTTCAATATAAGTTAATAACTGGTTCTACACTTTAGTACAAAGTGCAAAAATAATTCAATATAAGTGATCCAATAAACTGACTGTGCCTTTACCTGCTATGAGGCTTTTGTTATGACTGGAACTTTTCTGTTTTTTAATGTTGACAATATCATTCATCTTACTGTTATAGCATTATTACACCAATTTCAAAGCATCTGAATAATGACAATGACAGCAACAAGATGTTTGGGACACTCTGAATTCTACTGCAGACAGAGTCTATAACCTATGGTACTCATTAAAACACAATGATCACAGAAACTGCCTGATGGATGCTCAACCTTTCTTGAGGGCCAGAGTAGTATGCACTTGGCAAAGAATTCCTGTTCTCAAAACTCCTCAAATCTGTGTCAAATTTCTTGTTTTGCCACTACCCTGTCCCAAGGTAGCATAAAAGCTTGTCACAACTTGCAAAGTGGTTCTAACTAACACATTTGCACATAAATTATTATTTTCTATTTTTGACTTTTTCATCATGTTGCACTGTTTAGCAACACAAAGCAATGGTGTAAGGCATACTAATAAAGTAAGGCCAAAGAGAAATGGTCAAAGTAATGGCCTAAAAAGTAACAACCAAACATTTAAAGCATCAGAATCCCATGTGGATTTTAATCTCAGTTGCACTATACCGCATCATAACTAACATGGCCCTTACATGCACCAGCATTCTGTACAAGCCCAGTAATCAGTTTGTCACATAACATTTTGTTGAAAAAGAAGAAAAACAAACAGCCCTGATTCTAAGCTAATCCCTGTTTAAATCACAATCACAATTTTTTAATTCCTGAAACATTGCCTGTGCACACAGTGCTTACAATGACACCCATGTACCACACTTGTGACTCTCAATTTAAATTCATACATTTCCTCATTTTTTAAAGTAAAATTTAACCGCTACACCCGAGCTCACTTTCACCTGTTTGGCGCAACATGTATTTTTGCAGTCTGGACTGGATGCTCGTGGCTGCCTGTATACAAAGTAATGGCCTTCAAATCCTGGCGGTTATACTTATTTTGAAGCGCAACAATCAAAAAGCAAAAAACAAGGACACATTTTCAACTCACGCAGATGAACTGCAGAACCCTACGCGAAAACGCCGGACCACAGCTCTCCGGGAAACTCCAGCGCAGACCTTTCCAGCTCACCGCCGTTAAACCGCCGGCGCAAGAAATACGTAAATGGCGCAACCCTCCTAGCCGAACACAAAACGTGCGTGGGGGCCGGAGAGATCATCTGTTGTACTGCGCGTGCCGCGGAGACGTCGTGGGCGAGCGTCCGAGCGCTCTAGTGTATAGGTTGACGTGAGGGTCCGTGCTTAAATTGGTAGGATTTTTGATTATGTTCAGTCCGACTGGTCACACACTGGTGTGGTGTCCGCACACGGTTCACCGTAGCAAACCGTACTCGTGTTGTCCACCTCTTAAAGTACGTACGGTTCCACGTCTACCCGGCCATCTTGAAATGCAGTCTAGCGTTGAAAACCCACGCGTGTGACCTCGCCAGCAGTCCTGCTGGCTCGTGAACACTATGATTGGCGAGGAGTAGGATTTTTCTCTTGTAGTGTGGTGCAATGGCGTGCTGCGAACATCCTGACGGGATTTTCACCTCGTGCGTCATTGAGGCTTTACGACGCACTCAGCAGCTGAGGCTATATGGCGCCGCCTGCCCTCACCCTGGCGGGAAGGGCGGGCACCCCTGGGAATCGAAACCGTACCTCTGGTTCCTCAGACGCGCAGTGGTTGACGCAGACGCGTTAACCACTACACTGCCGGCACCCCGCTCCGCCGGCTCCGGGAGTTGTACACTCCTCGAGCCAACGTCATCGTGGAATGCTTCAAGTTTCACAAGCGAGCTCAGGCCCCCCTAGAATCAACTGCTGGCTTTGTCGCTGCCCTCCGCAACCTGACCCGGTCCTGTCAGTTCGGCCCCATGGAGTCGGAACTGATCCGGGACGTGGTGGTTCAAAAGACACACCACCCGCGCTCCGGAAATGGTTCCTTCAGGACAGGGACCTGACCCTGCAGAAGGTGCTTAGTCTCACGGAAAGCTACAAGCACTTCTTGCGTGGGGCAGCCGTCATCACTACTCCATCTAAAGCAACAGTGCCACCTGCGGCCACAATGGCCAAGGTCACCAGGCCCAGAGGCCACCGGCAGCGCACCCAGCAGCAGCTGAATGATAGCACTAGTGACCGCTGCACCAACTGTGAACGTGATGACCACGCTCCCAGGAATGCAGCCTGCCCTGCCCGCAAGATTGCCTACCACTCCTGCGGGAAGAAGGGGCACTTCGCCGGCTGGTGTCGTGGTAGCAGCAGCACAGTCACTGCCTGACCAGCCCAGCGAGGTCACAAACTAGCTGTCAAGGAGCTCCATGTGCTGGCCTGCTCCTCAGGGGCTGCTGGCCCAACTCGCCCCACCTGTTCTGTTCAGGTGACGACTGGTGGCACCCCCCATGATGTGCCACTGCAGGTGGACACAGGTGCAATATATTCCCTGCTGAGCCTCAGCCATGCCAAGCAACTCTTCCCTGGTGTGGCGGCCTACCAGCCATCCAGTGCCCAGCTGTTCGGTTTTGACCATCAGGCTCTCACTGTGCAAGGAATGCTGCCTGCCATTGTCTCCCATAATGGCAACCAAGCAGCAGCGTCCAGCGTTCTACCTAGTTGAGATGCCCGCAAAGGAGCCATCTTGGGGATGGACCTGCTGAGTGCTCTGGACACCACGCTCCACCCAGCCTCCCAACCTGCTGTCACTGTATGCACAGTGTGGGAGGCTCCCACACTGTGCATGCAGTGACAGCAGGTTCGACGCCCGAGCGCCTCCCAGCCATTGAAGGGTAACAGCACCTTATCAAACTAAAGCCAGATGCTGTGCCCACTGCCTACAAGCTTCGTAGACTGCCCCTGTCAGTGACGGATGAGGTGTCTGCTGAGCTGCAGCGCTTACTTCAAGCAGGCATCATCGAAGGGATCGACGCCTCCCAGTGGGCGAGCCCGCTCACTGTGTCTCGCGAGAAGGACGGTAGCATCAGGATCTGTGTGTATCTGCGAGACCCCAACTCCCAGATCGTGGTAGAGGTGCACCCTCTCCCCACCATCGACGAGCTCGAGTCCAAGCTCCGTGGATCGATCTGCAACCGGATTGACCTGAAGACGGTCTACCTTCAGCTGCGTCTGCACGAGGAATCCCGCGACATCACCGCCCCTTCCTCACGCCGGACGGCCTGATGCGTTACAACGTGTCCAGTGCCAGCGCCTTCCAAAAACTCCTGACTAACCTGATTCAGGGCATCGAGGGTCGTGGCCACTACCTGGATGACATCCTGGTGGCTGGCCGCGACCAGCAGGAGCATGATCAGCATCTCAGCACCGTGCTGGACCGCCTCCGTCAGACCAACGTCACCGTGCTGGACCGCCTCCGTCAGACCAACGTCACCGTGATGGACCGCCTCCATCAGACCAATGTCACCGTGCTGGACCGCCTCCGTCAGACCAACGTCACCATCAACATGGGAAAGTCCTCATTCAGCCAGGCGAAGGTGGAGTTCTGCGGACATCAGCTGTCCCAGAACGGATTGGTCCCACTCCTATCTGCCATCAAGGCCGTGGTCGAGGCCCCGCCTCCCACTAACGTGAAGGTGTTCCGCAGCCTCCTGGGCACAACTGGCTGGTTCAGCTGGTTCGTGCTCCAGTACTCATCAATGGTCAGGCCTCTTGCTGCTATGCTGAGGAAGGACGCCATCTTCCAATGGACCCAGGAGGCCGACGACGCCTTCAATGAAGTGAAGCGGTTCATCACTGCCAGATCGGTGATGAAGCCCTTCAGTCCGAGCCTCCGCACCGTTGTGACGTCCGACGCCCGTGATCGCGGCGTGGGCGCCGTCCTGGCCCAAGTTCAGCCAGACGGTGATGAGCGCCCCGTCGCGTACTGGGTGCGATTGTTCACCGACACAGAGTCGCGTTACTCTGCCTCCGAAAAGGAGGCCCTCAGTGCCGTCAACGCTGTGGAGCACTGGCGGGTGTACCTGTGGGGCCGCTCCTTCACCCTGAGGACAGATCACTCGGTGCTCGCGACGCTGCCCACGCCGAAGTCGGCCAACCGCGCCGGCGCGCGGATCGTCAGACGGCAGGCACGTCTGCTGCCGTACTCGTACACGGTGGGGTAACGCCCCGGCCACAGCATCCCGGTCGCCGACGCCCTGTCCTGCCTCCCACTGTCGGATACGGCCACCGCCGAGACTGACAGTGACGAAATCGTCGCCCCCGTCACCGACGAGGCCGCTGACGTGACCACGGACGACGCCGTCCGCGCCGCGTCCGCCGCCGATCCAGTCCTGGAGGAGCTGCGGTCGACCATCCGCACCGGTTGGCCGGACGCCGCGCGAAAGTGCCCGCCACAGACACATGAGTTCTACGCTGTGCGGCACGAGCTGCAGGTCCGTGAAGACGGCATCGCTCCGCGGAGTCCGGACCGCGTCGTCGTGCCGGCCTCCCTTCGCACCAAGTGCCTGGAGCTGGCCCACCGCGAGCACGACGGCGTGGTGCGCACCAAACAGACCTCGTGCGGTCTGGCCTGGTGGCCTGGGATGGCAAAGACTGCTGCAGAACTGGTCACAGACTGCCCGGCCTGCCACGCCAAGGACGCCGTGCTGACGCAGCAGGCGCGCCCCGCACCGCTGCAGCCGGTCGAGCTCCTCAACCGGCCATGGGTCAAACTGGGACTCGACATTGTGGGCTCGATCCCCGGCACACCTCTGTCCGCCAGATGCGCCATAACAATGAGGGACTTTTTCAGTAAAGGGCCTGAGATCGCTTTGACAGCGACCGTCGAGACCGATGACGTCGTCCAGTTTGTCAGTCTGGCCTGGTCGCGAGAGGGGTTCTGCGCGGAGCTGGTGACGGACAACGGCCCGCAGTTCACCGATGAGAAGTTCCGCCAGTACCTCGCCGAACGCGGGATAAGGCATACCACCTCCGTAGTACACTGGCCACGCGGCGACGGTGCAGCGGAGCGGCTCAGCCGAGAGTTGTAGGGGTGGATCCACGAAGCTACGCAACTGGTACCACGTATGGCTGCGAACTTCGCAAACCACATGCGACAGTACACAGTACAGGGCAACACCGCGCTGCACCACCGGCGAGTCGCCCTCCATGCTGCTACAGGGACACCGCATGCGCCTCAACCTGCCGGTCGCTACAGTGGCGCCGCCACGCAACAGCTCACTCCTGCATGGGGTTGACACGTAGCAGCGACGACGACGCCCGACGAGCCGCCCGACCGCCAGACCTCCGGCCTGGCGACAGTGTCTGCGTGCGGAAGCAGGGCCACGTACCCAAGAACCACAGCAGGTTCTCCAGCTCGCTCCCCATCGTACGGCCGCTCGGACCAGCCACGTTCCTGCTGTCGGATGGCAGCAAGCGGAACGCCGCACACCTGGCCAAAACGCCGAGCGACATCACGGGCGCCGCCGCCCCAGCACCACCGATCGCCGACGGCCCGGTGCCGCCTTCACGCCAGCTGACGCCACCGCCAAGTCCCAGCGCCACCGCCCCAACACCACCGATCGCCGACGGCCCGGTGCCGCCTTCACACCAGCTGACGCCACCGCCGAGTCCCAGCGCCGCCGCCCCAGCACCACCGATCGCCGACGGCCCGGTGCCGCCTTCACACCAGCTGACGCCACCGCCGAGTCCCAGCGCCGCCGCCCCAACACCACCGATCGCCGACGGCCCGGTGCCGCCTTCACACCAGCTGACGCCACCGCCGAGTCCCAGCGCCGCCGCCCCAGCACCACCGATCGCCGACGGCCCGGTGCCGCCTTCACACCAGCTGACGCCACCGCCGAGTCCAGGCGCCACCGCCCCAGCACCACCGATCGCCGACGGCCCGGTATGGCGAATCGCCAAACGGCGATGAAGACGCACCACCAGACGGTGCTGACGTGGTGCCGCCAGGCGACAGACGCATCCAGCCACCCGAAGGCTCGCGGACGCCGCTAACCGAAGCGGCCCGAACCGCGAGCTGCCAGCTTCCTCGAAAGGGCGCCGCCGCTTTCTGCCCCGGCGTCTGGTGTAAACACGTGACTGGAAATATGTAAACCTCTGAGGGCCGGCGAATGCAGTGTCCACAGATGGTTCACCTGACAAATCGTACTCTTATTGTCCGCCTCTTAAAGTACTTGCGGTTCCATCTCTACCAGACCATCTTGAAATACAGTCCAACGTTGAAAACGCACGCGTGTGATCCCGCCTGCAGTCCTGCCGGCTCGAGAACACTATAGTTTGCCTCCTTCGTAAGGCGGGGTTCGCGGGTTAGCGAACGTCTGCGGTGGGAAGCGTATTGTATTCAGGCAGCGATGGCAGAGAGGGCAGCTGAGAGGCAGTTGCCTACTCGGACAGCCACTGCATTTGTTCAGCAGCGTTGTAGTGTGAATGACACATATATTAAAACTACTGTGCGGCTGCAGAACCTATCCAGCTCATCATGCAATGCCTAATTAGCACAGACACTTACACTGGATCCTTCACTTTCACTTCACCTCATATGTCACATTGCTGGTGGCTGCAGCAAACAAGCTTCTTTTTTACCCGAGTGCCAAAGGGCTAAAACTTACACGACAAAGAAGACAGTCACAGTGACAGGAACATCTCTCCAGGTAAAGTTTTGGCCTGGTGTGTCAGTCTGATTCGCACTGCTCAGGCTAGCAGGGGAATATAGAACGGCTCCAGCTGCCAGCTGGTGTTCCCGACTTGACGGTGCGGTGCCGCGCCGACCGGGCGGTCTGACCATCGGGGCTGAGCCCAGCTGGCCAGGTGACGTCAGCCTCGGGCCGTGCGGTCTCGGCGGTGAAGGCTGCTTCTCCTGATCGGACTGCCGGGCTGGCCTTGGCGACCGGAACAGCCTGGTATGGCCTGATCAATCGCACCCACCGCCGCCTCCACCATCTCCACCACCACCTCCACTGTCGCACCCGCCGCCTCCACCATCTCCACCACCACCTCCGCTGTCGCACCCGCCGCCTCCACTGAACCATCCTCCACCACCACTGTCACCATAATCACCCCCTAGATGAGTGTCGGATGCGCCACTGCTGGTGTAGTGATATGTGTGCTTGCTTCTACCGCCGCCGCCAGAGCAACACCACGCGCAGCACGAATCCTCATCCTCGTTCGCTAACGCAGTTCCGGGCCCTGCTGATCCATCTGTCGACATTTTTGCTAAGCTGGCAGGCTGCTCATTGACAACAGGTGGCGTTGTGTGCGCTTGCCCGTGCAGGGACCCCTTCTGAGTATAGGAGCCCTCCATGGCGTCTGCAAGCAAAAATGCGGCGTCAGCTTTCACGTCCTGTCCTTGTCAAACATCACGCCAAACGTACTCTGCTCGTTGCATGAGTTGTAACGGTCACGCGACTAATAATAAAACAGTAATAATCTAATAACGTGTCGAAACATAATTAAAGGCGTAAGAATGTTTCAAAAAGGGAGGGGGCGGGGGACAAGACTCGAGGAATGCTTTTACTGGGCCACCCGGCTCGGGGGAGGGAGGAGATTCAGGACAATGTCCGCCCTTCAAGGGAGTGTTTCATGCCTGGGTTTTGAGCTGAAATGACCATCCTGAGGGTCATTGGGTGCAGCTCTCAGCCCTGCCATTCTTCACACCTAAACCCCTCTACTTTCTGAGCCATACGCCCACAAAGATGTGCAGACCATTTCAGGAAGACTATTTAAACACGCGCCCGGGCGCCCGGCCAGATACCCTTCGCTCGGATGGGGGGTGGGGGTCAATTTGCCCCCCCCCCCCCTGAGATCTCGGGAACTAAGGGAGCTAGAGACGCCAAATTTACAGAGCGTGTTGATCTGTACGTGAATTCACTTCGGTCAAAGTTTGGGGTTCGTAGATCACGACTTGCGGGTAAAATAAGGTCAAACATTCAAATTCCAGGTTGGTCTCCAAAGTGCCCCCAGAACCTAACTAACTGTTTCTAAGCAAGAGGGCACCTGCTTATTTAAGATAAGTGACATTGTTTGACCTTTTGGAGGTCATGGCTACCAAAATCATACAAGACTGATTGAATTTTGCATTTGAATAAGCAACAAAGGTTACGCTAGACAGTATCTGAAAACAAAATGCTGACCTTGGTCATTTTAAGTCAATGACCTATTGTAACCTCTAAAAAGTCCATGGAAATGCATCATGCGATTCCTGCTGTCGATAAATTCGAAATGAGCACCAGAAACTACCCCATACAGCAACCCATAGAGCAATAAAACAGGTTGGTTTTGACCTTGGTCTGATCTTCATATATGGCCTTTGGTCGACGTAAGTTGCTCATCCAATATTTGTGTTGCCTAAGAAGTCATCTCAGAGATGTATGGCTTCGTCTAAAACTCTGTTGTTACATCAGATTGAACGATTCCCTAGAAACTGACGTCACTGGAACCATGGCCTGACGTTGACCTACCATAGCTCAGCAACCTTACAAAGTGCATCTAAATTTTTGAAACCAAGCGATCCGCTATTCATTTGTCTATAGTTAGGCAAAATTTGGCGCGGCTGCACCGCGCCGTTCAGGAACCATTCTGGAAAAACCGTGGGGGTTCAGTCTGACCCTCACCCGAGCGCGTGTTCAGGTCACCCCGGCATCCCTGACGCCACCATAACGTCACTCAAATCCTGTCATTCCGTTAGTCATGCAGCCATTAAGGCCAATACAATTGTCTGCTCACTCATATCTGGCATTCCTGAGCATGATCACTAGATAAAATGGCCGTCAATAGGTTTTTAATTAATGTCGCGCAAGGTACGGCGGCGTATTCGAACATCGGCGTATTGAGGAAAACAGTTACTACGCACACAAATTGCATGAAGAGTGGGGGTTTTTGCTTAGAGGTATACCAGTAGTATAAGTGAGCCTGTTTCATCATATCTGATGCTTGCTTCGGGTCTTTAAATGCGGAACATTTCCTTTAATTCATATAACATATTTTAGAACTGGTTAAATGTCATGGTCGCATTGCTAGATATACATCCCTATATGTTTCCCACTGGTGCACAGTCTTGTCAATTCAAGCGGTCTACGCCATTTGGCGAATACGACTATCCAGCTTCCAAGACTATTCGTTAATTTCAACAATGCTCTCCTTGGGGAGACGAAATTGCACGAGTGGGTAGACACTTGCAGTCACTGGGAAGGCATCTATATCGTTAGGGTAGATACCGGTTTCCAACTGGGGCGCAGGCTGGTCAGGGTTTTTAATGCGAATCAGTGGTAAATAGCGCGCCAGAGTTTCCTGCGTGTAGATTTCACCAGCTGCTTTTCAAAGGATAAGATTTGTTGCAGCATCTTGAGCGGAAATAAATCCGGAAGCTTAAAATTTCACCTGTCAAAAAAGCTTGTGACGAAAATTAGCAAACTTGAGTTTCCCCTGTAAAATATAAGTCACAGAATGAAAGTCCTTCTTCCAGGTATCCTTATCTGAGCCCTGCTCCTGTTCGCCGTCGTCAGCCACTACCTTAGCCCGGCTGCCCCGCATGACTGACTGCGAACTGATCGGAGACTGCTTTGCCGTATGTTTTTGGTTTAGCATTGCTAGTTGTTTATATTTAAAGCATAGATTAGACATCTGTCACAGCATCGATTACCAAATCATCTTCATTCAAATCACACCACAGTAGAAAATAGCATTTCATGAAGTTGCCTGCCTCAGGCATGAATTGGTCTACCGGACTGCATTTGCCCCTCATTCAACGAAGCCAACTTGATCTGCTTTCATATGCAAGCAGGGATGTAGCCACATCATTGCCAGGGGGAGCACAGGGTTGACAAAAGCCCCCCGGATGATGACCCCTCAAAAACCGCCGAATATAGCCCAGTTTTTAACGAGCCTTGTCAAGCGGGGCACTGGATTGATAAATATTCCCACCAAAAAAAGAACGCCGGATAAAGCTCACTTGTTCGCAACAGCACTATTCTTCGGTATATTGCTATTTTTCCTTTTGTAACCAAAAAGGAAACAGGAACCAGAAGCTACCGCGAGATAAATTCTGATTCTATTTCGAAGTCAGTGAACTGGTGAAAACAGGAATTGAATGACAGCATGAAGCACACCACCGACACTCTTCGGCTTACAACGGTGCAGTGAACTCTTTCCAACCAATAGAAATCAGAAGCTCTGCCATATATTCTCTGTATTCTTCAGGGATATTGAGGACCCGCTTATCGGAGGTTGTAAATCGAAATGGGGCCCAAAATATGCATTGATATGGCTAACCCATGCTCGTCTTGAAATGTTCAACACTCAGTCGATTGATTACAGGAAACAAATATGTAACATGGTTTTGAGTATATGCGCCCGCCAATCTTGCAACAGCCTTGACGTCCGGCGCTGAAGTCTCCATAGGCTGAGCGGCGTCGGTCCTGTGGCTGACACAAAACGGTGGCCAACGGACAGACGAAAAACATGACGCAGCTGAAAGAAGTACTTTTGAACACATTGAAACACTAATTCGTACGTTTAGAAAGTAAGCCCGGCGTATGTTTCACGATGTCTGTACAATTTGTACGTATGTACATTTTTAAATTGATAATAAGGACGGATCCGCCTTTGCAACACCGCAAAATGGCGATGGAAACTGGTGCTAGAACTGGAAGATTAAAGGTAGAATCACGATTTATCGTGTTGCTGTAGCTGTTTATTTGACTGAAGAAAATCCTCAAAAAATTGTAGAAGCATACTTCCCACTCTGATCTCTGAATGCCTCAAATTTATTTTGAAAGGCTTTCGGAAGCATTATTTTACGACGGTCGTTCTCGCGCGCACGGCACGTACCGCCTGGTGTTGCCTGCAGCGGCCAACGCCGTTCGGTTTAACAAAACTGCAGTCCCGCCCACCGCTGTTCTTGCTCCTGAGACTGCGAGCGTGCAGGGCCTAAAGCCGGTTTACGGTATTTGAACGTTTTCAGGCGAGCGTGGGTTGGCCTTTTTAATTTTTGACTTCATTTTGATCCACCCCATTCCTCATTTTCATAGACCTCTAACGTTTTCGGGGCAAGGGATCCCTGAGAACACTCGGGGGCACATTATCATAACCAGTCCTGGCTGACATTCCGTCCCAGCGCGGGATGCGTCGCTGCTGCCCTTCTGGCGGCACGGGAGCGGGGTTCCCTCATCGATCCCGAAGCCCTTAGATGTATACATTATATTCTTTTGGACACCATATATATATATATATATATATATATATATATATATATATATATATATGTTGAGGGGGCTGCAAGCAGCTATTCAAAAGATCCAAGGTTTTATAAAAAAGACGGTACGGGACATTTGGTACCAGAGGGCCTCGCCCCTGAGTATATGATGCCGTATATGATGATGCCGTATATATGCCATCGCCGTATATGATGGGATAAAATGCTGTTATCTACCACATGAAGCATTTGTCCAGTGTAGTTTGAGGAAGATGACTGGAGAACTAGGTAAATCGGCATGCATGATAAAAGTTGCATAGAAATAAGCTAAACGTAGATAAAATCAGAAAAATGTGGGACAGTGAACATTGCTGCCCCCACCTTGAAAAGTGTGGGGAGGGAGATTGCCCCCCTCCCCCCCCCTCTATTCCTACACCCATGAGCATAACATTTTAATCATGAGAAGCCAGAGCATCCGTGGAGCGGGAAACAGCAGGCCCACATCGCTGTGTCGGTCAGGCACACCACACCTAGCACTAATGCTGGTTACGTAGGCAGGGAAGTGCGTGGTATATCAATAGAACGCACGTGGAAATAAGATGAGATGCCTTTGAAACGGGTGCAAAGTCACCATTACTATGTCGCTGGCACTGGTTTTCATCAGTTATTATCGAAAGCGCGTAAACGGGGGAAACACACGCACGCACGCACGCACGCACGCACGCACGTACGCACGCACGCACGCACGCACGCACCCACGTACGCACGTACGCACGTACGCGCGCGCGCGCGCGCGCACACACACACACACACACACACACACACACACAAGCGCGCGCGCGAGCAGACAGTAGCAGACAGACTCATCCCAGGACGGATTTACATAGATCCCTGCGCGTCAATTTGCCAATTAAGACAGTCCATACGGCATAGCTATGGACTGGTCATTGCTGTCAGAGCGTGGTCAGACAAAATACAACGATGTTAAGCATGGTACAGAGCGTCGAACTCCACTTCCCATATTTGTTGTCTCGCCAAAGATATAGGATATACACTCGTCTCCAAACACGATGTCTAACTGCCGACTTTCCCAGCGGTCCCATGGCAGCTTTACGTGCTTGCTGTAGAAAGATCGCGCACCATCGACGATTGGCCTGATGCGCGCGTGCGCGTGGAAGACGTGAATGAAAAGCATATTCAGGCCAACGGCGTAACACTCTTCCAAGAAGTTTATAGCTTGCCAAGACAGTGCGTTCAACAGAAACACTGAGGCGCCGACCACTCAGTCAAGCTAAAAACAAAACGCACAAGCTTTGCGACACGTCTTGCCTGCCACTCAGAGGCGAAGCCAGAACTTTCTGAAGAGTGGGGGGCGGGGGGGGGGAGGCAGAGGTCGGTGAGCACACATCACGCCGGTTTTTTACCGCCTGACTGGAGCTATCCAGGGTGAAAAAAGCACAGCAGAGACCACGCGGTACACGGCGGTGCTCCAGGCCGGTCCGAACCTCGTCACAGCGCAGTGGGGCTCCACGTCTTGCGACCCTCGCCGACCCGTCACCACAACTGCCGCTCGTGAACCTCACCGCTTGCGTCGCCGCCTCACCCCAGCCGTGTTTGGGTGATGGCGCCGCACGGCCGAGCAGCGGGACGGCGCAGCGGCCCGCCGCCGACCTTGGCTGACGTCACAGGGAGCGGGCTGATCAGACGCGCGGGGCGGCCGCCGACGCCGCCAGCGGGCTCCGCTGGTGGAGAGGGAGGAACCGGCCCGACACAGGTGGGGGCACAGGGATGCCGGGGCTTCCCCGCTTCCCCGGATATGTCCCCAATAGGGAGACCTGTGCTTGTTCCCGCACCAGCAGAACCAATTTCATCTCCGACATACAGCGTATGGCGTTGGTTGAGCCTCAGACCCCGAGCAGTAGTGTACAGCCGCCGACGCCACCAGCGAGATCCCCGCCGGCCGAGTGGGAGGGACTGGCCTGACTGAGGTTGGGGCACGCGGATGACGGGGTTTCCCTGCCTTCCTCGGCCCCCACCTCGGATTTCCCCGCCTTCCCCGGATATGTCCCCAAAATGGAGACATGCGCTTATTCTCGCATCGGCAGAATCAGTTCCATATCCGACTTACACCGTATGGCGTTGATTGAGACTCAGACCCCGAGCTGAAGTGTACAGCTTTCGGTCGGCGAAGACCCGATTCCAAACAGATGATAAATAAGCTCTCTTCGGAGCCCGTTCCGCTGCAGTTGAAAGCTGCTCCAAGGCTTCAAAAGCCTGCACACGATATTTACCCGTTAATAATCCTGATAATAAATTATTATATTGAATACAGGGACGCAATCAGAGGGCGGCCTCGTGAGGCTTCAGACCCCCTCCCCCCCCCCTCCCGTCTTCGTCAGGATCCAGTGGAAGTTTCTCCGTGACAAAATCTGGTGATCAGCAAGCTTGATTTACCTTACAACCCTTTTTGTTATCATGGAAATGACATGTCGCAAATAGGCCATATAAGGGGTGTTCATGTATTTCGTTACACATGGAGGGGAGGCAGGATTTAGATGGAACGTGACTTAAGCGCAAGGAAAGAGAGGGGAGGGGAAAGACAGCGCAACGATGTGCTACAGTATGGCTGCAAATCAAGGTTATTTGTTGTTAATGTTTAACACCTGAGAGCTCCAGAGAAAATCTCAGAGATGAAAAGCGTAAACACAGCTCAACTACCGATAAGACAGTAGGATTAGCGTTGTCCCTCGGAAAACCAGGAGAATGGATATCTAGTTAGGTTGATATTTCGGCAGTATGCCTTTCTCGAAACAATAGCAGAGGTTTGTTTTCTTTTGATAATGTTTCGAGAAAGGCATGTTGCCGAAATATCAACCTAGCTATATCTCCATTCTCCTTGTTTTTCCGAGGAATAACGCTAATACTTCTGTCTTATCTCTGTGACTAATGTTCTTCGATAATGCACTGAACAACTTACAGCACAACTATCCGCGATGGACTCGCGGTTATTGAAATCCGTTGTCACAGCGATGCACCCAGTACACCTAAGCTGGTAACAAGGCCGGAGGATAACCAGGTGGATATGTAAGGATATGACATGTACGGTGTCCGGCACATATCTGTACACATACATTGCGTGTTGTCTCAGCTGCGCATACCCTTATACTTCATATGATATATGCTCTGTTCACAATTGCCTACCCCAGTCGTCTCAGCTACACAAGCGCAGCTGATTTCTATGCTGTTTTTATTAGAACAAATGATCTACTGTAAGAACAAGCCGAATAGCCCCTTAGCCCAATAATCCCTTAGGCTCTGCACCTTTTGCGTTCGGGGGGGGGGGGGGGTCTATATTCTGTCCGCTGCGCGTGACTACGAAGCTGCCACAAAGGAAGCCGGGCTGTCTGCGGTCTCCTTCAGCTCCTACCTGCTTTGGATGAGCGAGATAGTGTTGTCGACATGAATTAGCTCAGGAGGGGGTAAAATCGGTTTAAAGAAGGCTTCTTCAGTTAAGAGTCCCTCTTCGTCGTTTTATGGACCATGTTTGTTTAATTAGGATGGTTGCTGTAGACTCGACGTCCTATTTGGATGCCTCGGGCCAGCTCGTATGCTTTAGAAATGCAAAGGACGTCTTAAGCTCCAAAAGTTTTGGCTCATGGTTTCCGATTATCATCCAAATCAACGCCTATGTGCATTATCTTGCCGCTGTCCAAGAACACGCCATAGGGCATGGGGCATGCATTTTGCTGCGTTATTAGCCATAGTTCTATGTTGTTTGGCCATTCACGACTTTCAAACTGCCTTTTCGCACAGCTCGAGAAAGACAGGATCCAAAACAGATAGTAGCTATAAGCATGATACGTTTCCAAGTTACGTAAGTAATTTATAACTAATCCCTATTACCGAGTTACCCGGCCTCGATCCTTGCTCTCCTGTCCACTCCCTCGATCGAAGGTGTAAGTTCGCAAAAAGTTGAGGGGTGGAGGAGATCTGGACAGGGAAAATGGCTGAAGCTACCTCCCAAAATTGTCACTCTCTGAGAATAGTTGGGGGCTGAGCTGATAAAGCTGATCTAGCCCACCCGCTCCTGATTCGTTCCCGGATTTCGGCCCCCTTAATTTACGTCCTCGGTGTCGAATAAAAGGGAAATCCAGTCCCCAAACATCTAGGATGAGGGATGACTTCCCGCTTGAAGCCCACGTGAAGCTCACTTTTTTGAAGCAAGCTTAGAGTGGGGTACAATTCAAAGAAGAAAAGCCTTAGAACATCGACCAGTTGTGATCAACGAGAATAGATATCGTTTTTCATACATCAGTGGTGGCAAAAGGGAATCAAACAACGCAGTGGAGTGGGTTCGCAGTTCGCACCCATCCGACCTGTCGTCGCTAAACTTCATACTAAGGGCTCACTCTGGTACGTCCCTCAAGAACCGCATCCAACATGGCCGAGCCGACGTACCCTCAAGAGCTCTGGACGCCTTCAGACTTGAGATGGGACTCATCACCGTCGACAAGATCGGCAGGGCAGCTGATCACCTGTAGAAGGTTCAGCTGTTGCTCATCCCGGACCGACAGGGAGCCATCTAGAGCATATCGTGTTATTATTATCTGACGGTTGTGGGATCTCTTGCTGCCAACGTCACTGCTCGTGTTTTGTCATCGAATTGGTGGTCGAATACTACCACAGTCACGATTGTACGACAAAGACACGTGCATTGCTGAGGAGAATATCACTCAACTCACACTCTGGGCACCCTTTACTTTAGAAAGCTGCCGTATATTGTGACTCTTTTTTATCGATATGCACTTGCGTAAGTATACACTAAGTGTAGGTATGCATGCACTGTAAGTGTAAGCATGTCTGTATACGCCTGTGTGCACCCGTGTGATCATTAGTTGTGGGGCGGGATTTTGCGTAACTTTCGTGTTACAAGATGCGTGACATGCCAGTTTTATATTACGGGGCGTCTCGATTGCCTCCAAATTTGGTTTTTGGATTCAGCGTGTTGAGAAGGCCCAGCACACCAAATTTGGAGGCGATCGTGACGCCCCGCAATGTCCAACTGGCAGTTGGATATCAGTCTGCTGCTAGACTGACGGGCGTAGAGCTTCATTGAGTCCACGACCAGGTACTACCGCAAGTGTGCCATAAACGCCGCATGCATACCTCATCTTCATCTCGCACCATCTCGCGTAGGAGTATATTTCGGAGAGCTCTGGGAATTCGGGTAAAGCCCATGGACGTCCCTGGGACCGTTTATCAGCCGGTCCACCCCCCACCCCCCCCCCCCCCTGCCCGTCCTCCACGTGGCCGCTGTGGCCGGCAGCACGCGCGACCCGTAGGACTCGACCGCCTCCCCGTCACTGCAGCGAAGGTCGGCAGGCTGATCCTTCCCCCGCCCCGCTGCGGCGGGGGGGGGGGGGGAAGACGGTACGAGGAGCTGCACCCGCAGACCAGCGGCCGTGGCGCCGGCTCGGCGCCGGCCGGGCGGCGGGGAGCCCCGTGTCGCAGCAGCTTTTACGTGGCCTTCAGTCAGCTAATCCTTCGGTCGGGACTTAATTCCCCGTGACCCGATCGACGTCAGGGGCTTCGAAAAAAGCCAAGGCGTGGTGCGGGGCCGACGTGGAATGCGCCCGAGGAACAGGATCGGATCCAGAGGGGGGGGGGGGGGAGCACGGGGCCATGGCCTCCCCCTGGGCCCCGAAGGAGCCCATCGGCCCCGAGGGAACCTATAGCCGGGCGAACAGGCGGAGTTATTTTAACAAAAAAAAACGCAACAAAACTGGGTATCCCTGGACTTCCAGGCGACCAAAAACAGTTGCGAGCAAAAGGTGAAGGGCTTGTCAGAAGTAAAAAGAAAAAATCATTCCATGATTGGAAAAGTTGTGAACTAGAAATTGTACGCCCTATTACACCATTTAGGGGCCCTACGTTGTCTCCGGAGGACCTATATGCCCACTTGCAAGATCATTTCGATCGTTACGGAGCATTCCACGTTGCCCTTCATTTCTTTGAATTTGTTCAGAGGGCCCCACGCTGTTGTTGGGGCCCTTTCCGTTAGCGTGCCGGGGGCACTCTTGTCAATGACGGGCCCTTCCACGGATTCTTTCCATTCGCCAAAAAGGCTCCGTGAGCTTTTGCCGGGATATTCTCGGTTGCTCAGGGGCCCTTTACGTGGGACTCGGTTAACCTGCCGACACACTTGCGATATGCTCAAGGGACCTTGCATTGGCTTCCATTACATTACAAGGGACCTTGCAATGGTTTGGGCGTTTCCAATTCTCTGTCACTTGCTTAGAGCCTTAAACTCTTGTTGGGGCCCATCTGATGGCCTGCTTGGGCGCACTCAGTCGTTCGGTGACCCTTCACATTGAGTGTTGGATACTTTTTTCTGAATGGGGGCCCTACGCTCTTGTGGGGAGGCCCATTTGTTTGCCTCCTCGGCTACAGTGGATTGTTCGGGGACCCTGTATATTGGGTCTTGGCGTTTGGATTTAGGGTACTACACTCATGTCGGGCCATCTGATGATCTACTCGGGTACCCTCCATCTTTCGGGGCCCTCCGCACTGGGT